TGTTCGGACCTCTTTGATGCATTTGCTTTTCTCTCAGGTACCGACGTCATGGTCTCCCGAAAGCCTCCGCCGGAGGGTCTCCAGTGGACCCCGGTGGAGCGCAGCGACCAGGCCGCGGCGCTGCGCCACTTCCGCGCGGCGCTCCGCGCGGAGCTCGAGAAGCGAGACAGTACGGAGCTCTACGAGCGCGCGCCACGCGGCAAAAGGATCAGAGTTTTATGGATGGTGCAGAGGTTACACCTTGTAGAATCAAGACAGGGGAGAGAGTTTGGACGCCTCCCAAGTTCTGCATCAGATGTATAATTCACTGCACTTGTTCCCCAAAACGGATACTATTGTTGTTTGACGAATCAGTGCCGACGTTGTGCTTCTTTCTCCCGTCTACCGTCGTTCCGAGGCAATCCTATCGCTTCCACCACCCGGACACCGAGCCGCTCGCGAGCGGCTCAGTGGGAGTCCAATCCGGCGAGCAGTCGCGGGGTATAGGTGAGGCCAACGGGGAGAGAGGTGCTTTTGTGGAAGCTCTGGCCAACCAAATGCTGGAAGCATGCGGTGCTGACTTTATCATGCCAGAGACGCTTGGATCAAAGTGTTTAGCGGGTCCTAGCTAAATCGGTATAGCATGCCAAAGATGTTTCTCTAAAGGGGCACGGGAAAGTTGAGTTCTTCCTTCTTCCTTTTGCTTTTGGAGCATTGAGCTGCAGGATAGCATATCTCCAGGGTCCAGTGGCTGCTTTTCGACTGAAGCCATCTGACTCCTTGGGCACAAGCTCCGGAAGTCCTGCTGCAAGCCCCACTGGAACCGTTGGACACCTAAGAGTGGCAGCCCTCTATGCATTGCACCTCCTGGGGCACCATGCCTATGTCCCTTGGCTCACAAGATGAACTCAATATTACTGTTTTTGAAACTTTGGCGACTGACCTCTCTTTGTGGCAAGCTTAGTCAATTACATGTTTTCCTTGGGCCCTTGGGCTGGCGCTTTGACAGAGAATCTTTTTCCCCACCTCTCAAAGTGGCAAGCAGGAACCCTCTGAAAGACAAGCGCTTTACACGGCGAACTTCGATCCCAAGACGCAAACGGTGACGGCCGTCCCGCTTCGAAAGCTTCTGGAAGATCCTTGTCCCACAATTCGTTTGAACAATGCCATGTTCAATCACTTTCATTGTGAGGAATGAAAAGCTTAATCAATAGTCAATAGTTAATAATAACAATAATAATAATGATATATATATATATATATTGAAGTCAGTTCAATTTTCAACCCTGGTTGGCTATTTTATGATCGCGCACTGCCTGCAACAGCAGCAAAGGATGTGTTTCACTCCAGATCCTGCCACGGAGCAGTCTATAACGTTCTTGCTGCAAACAGTACAAGCTCAGAAGACTTCGAGAAGGCTGTGGACAGGACCCATATGGCACTCAATCATGCAGCACCATCAGTGGGCATTGATGTGTTAGCCAGTCTCAAGAGTGAGGCGTATCTTGGACATGCATTTTCTGTTTAACTTGGGTAGCATGGATGGGTAGGCATTATATCTTCCATTGCGTTTGAGCCCGCAAGAAGAGACGGATTTCTTACTTGTTGAGCCCAAGTATCCATCCCCCATCCATTCCCACACGCCAGGGACAGCAAGGCGCGTCATGATGGATTCTGGCCACACCTCCCAGGAAGATTCTGGGAAACCATGGGAGGACCTATTCCTAGAATTTTTGGGGCCTAGTGACTTTAGTGATCATCTTCGTTGCACCAAAAGGGGAAGGTTCGAACTATTCCACATCCCAAATATGACCCCCCCAAAGGTGCAGACACCAAAGATGCGTCCTTGGAATCAGGTCGGGCGCCAGAATTTCCCAGGTACGCGAAGTCCTTCCGCGGCGATTTGAGAGAAAAAGCGAGGCCAGCTTACACCTTGCCAGACTTTACCAAGCAGGCAGGGCAGGGCACCGTCTCAAAGGGCTCTCTTTGTTTTTCATCAATTGAATTCAATTGTATAATGTATAGACTTGAAACGGTGGATGAATAAGACCCCTTACCCAATCAACCGTCTACACCTCTCGTATGGGGGGTTTATCAATCAACCGTCTACATGAAGGCGTTCGTGCAGTGCACGACAGGACTAACCGGACGTCATGCTGTCGAAAGTGGCCCATCACAGGTCCAAGCCTCGTACATTGCGAGAGCAGACTCGCCTCAGAAGCTAGCTCGAACAGAGAGCCAGCCAATGGCTTATTTGCAGCAATTGCTGGGGGAGAAATCGCATTTGCCTGGCCTGGACATTGTGACTTGGGCCCTTGAATGCCCTTGATATGTGTTGTGCTTCCAGTCGGGGGAAGTTTGTATTCAGGAGCATAGGGTGAATTCAATATAATTCAACTTCTTGTCAGACTCAGCCGACCGAGGTCGCAGTTGCCAGTGGCGATGATTTTCATTTGTGTGAGGATTGGCGGGTTTCTTGCTACTGTGGCGGCTGCGACAAAGAGGAGCCCGAGCCTCAAGTGGAGGTGGTATCTCGTCCAATGAACCATTTGGTGTTCGACTTCAATTCGCACCAAATCCAAGTGCAAGAATGGAAGGAAGCACAGGTCTGGGTGGGCAAAAAAACTTGGGCATACCAGCTCCAATCCAGACACGGAAATGCAAGTGCAAACCAATTCTGACAATGTTTTGCATGTGAGATCCATGGCAGGAAACGCACGGCTTCTTTGATCCTTGCCTTCTTTGGACAGAACTTGCTTGGTGCCTTCAATCCGTTCACCCGAGCAACCCATTGGCAGCACCATGGTCCATCACCTTTCACGTGACGGACGGGACGATGACACTCACCAGACAGGGTAGCATGGTGGCTGTCTTCCTTGAGAAGTCCTTGCTCAAGAGTGTTTCACTCTCAGAGATGAGATTTGATGACCAAGGCGGGGTTGGCAGGGTTGACCGAACTCCATTAAAAGAGTCTTATAGAGTGATTTTGTTCCCCAACAAGGACGCTACTAGTAGCTCCCGGCATTACTATTCAGAGCAAGAATATAGTAACAAAGGGCATTGCTACTAGTAGGAGCAAGGACGCCTGTGGAAAACGACAAGGACAAAGACAAACATAGGCCATAGCCGCTGATCCGAGACATTCGTGCCCGTGCGGTCCCGAGGCTTTTTGCAATGGCCACTCATGCCAGATGCACTGGGGAGCCGAGTGAAAGTTCCCCCGGAATCTCAAGACGCTTTGCGGCGCTTCTTGAACTCTTCATACGATTGCAGCAAGCTGGTTTCCAGGCTTCGTGAGCCCCGTTCGTGTGAAACCAGAACAAGTTGCAGGTTATATACCGGTAAGGACCTCCGTTAGATACTGGTAGCTAGGACCTATAGGGCCACCATCCTCTGTGCAGCGAAAAGGGGGAACGCATGATGCGATTTAACCTCTGAGACTCCGAGATGCTCATCAGGGGGATGCTCAGCAGGGCAGTGCAACATATGCAACATAAAGCGCATGTTTCTTTGGGAGGGGGGAGCATTGGGCGAGTTGTGGATGTTTTTGGTGAGCTTTGGATATTGAAGAGGCATGAGGAATATTCCAGATCCTTTTGGAAGGTGGTGGTGAGGCTTCGGGAAAGTTTCGGAATGATTTTTGAGTCCCGCCAATTTCGGCAGAAGAGTTTCCATCCCTGATGGCTGCCTGGCACCCCTGTCCTCGAGAAGTAAAGACCGGTTGAGATCATCTCAGATCACAGACGGCCATGTAGCCCTGCCTACCTCCAGCGGATAAGCTTGGCACCTTTTCAGGGAATGGGAGGGGGTTCAGTTCCCCCCCCCCCCACAGACAAGCAGAAACGGCAGAAACTGAGGGAGTCAGACAGGGACCCACACGGAGCATGGCAGGTTTGCTTGGGAGACGCATCTACATAGGGATCCCATGCAACAGTGAAATGGAGCGGATCAAATCCAGAGGGGTTTGGGAACGACCGATTTGGCCATTTTTGCCGCTCTTTGCTGCGGCCTGAGTGGCTTTGCCGTCGCACAATCACTGGAAAAGCACCAGAGAAAGAAATGAAAGAACAAGCTTCGAACCATAATCAAGCACAACCACCCTGGGCCAGGTATTTGATTTCTTTGGCGCCACTTTCTTCCACTTCAAGCTCTTTTCATCATGCTGGGCCAGTGTGCGGCTGCAGCGAGCATGTCCATCTTGAAGTTGAACATGCGGAGATCGCCGCATCTGATCACACTGACACGATGCTCATGGCTGTGACCCAAAGTGCTGGTCATGTGTGGAACCTGGGCATGTGCCTGGCAAGGTTTCGTTTGAGAGAATGTGAACTCCCACTCACTAACATGGAAGTGGAAAACAACCTGTTGTAATAGGAAAGTAGTCATTCCAATGGCAATTTGTCCACTTCCATGTTAGTGACTCGGAGTGAATGTCCGCATGAATCATGACTTGAAAGTTTCTGGAACCCGGGAGGACGTCGACCAAATATCAATCAGTGGATGGAAGGTCTCGCTACTCTAATGCACACCGGAATCAGCGTAACCAGCATATATTTAGCCTTTTCTGTCATAGCTTTGGAGGCTGTGGACCATTTATCACGGGATATCTGCGCTTTGAAGGCCGGTTCTTGTGTCGTCCATCCCATGGGTTGTGCACTTTAAGTGGCAATCTTTCTAGAGGTGATGCCTGATGATAGCAAAGGCAACAGGAGATGGTTGTGTCGTTTCATATGCTTTCTGTGCAGGTGATGCTGAAGACCGGCATGTACAGGGGCCAAGCAGCAAGACCTTTTTGCTGCACGTTTCAATGGACTTGTGCGTCGCCAGCGCAGCAAAAAGAAAGGTCCATGTCACATCTTATATATATATATATTGTATAACATTTGTCATGTACTGGTAGCATGTAGTGGTAGCATTGGTCATGCATACAAAAATATTATATAACAATATCTATATATATAACATGTATATTTGGTCATGGATCGTGGCTTGCCGTTGAGCAAGGGGTGTTGTGACCCAAGGCGGAGCAGGTCTCTTGCGAGGAGGCCATCAGCCTCTCTAACAAGGCAGCCAGGCACGGCGGGGCGACCAGGGCGAGCGGAGCAGAGCGGAGCAGTTACCCTTCCTTTGCCGCAAGGATGGTGCTCGTAGGTTGCCTGCATGCATACACGGCATAATTACTGTATTGAGATATATTGAAATATATGGAGCAGGGTAGGCATATATAGTGTTCTTCCTCACTTCTTGCATTACAAAAACGCTTTGAAACAGACCTCAGATGAATCCTTTTTCAGCCGCCCTCGCGTCTGTGAGGCTCTTGGAGAGGGGCCTGGCCAGCTGGGAGCCGCAGGGGTAGAGTCACCGGTCGAGTCACCTTTATTTGTCCAGCCATGTGGCCTGTATGAAGGCTCATATGGCTTCGTGGACGTTCATAGACTTTCACCCGGGCCATGGGTCTGAAGGCTATCCATGTGTCTATCCAACAATCGGATGGCATGGCACAGGTATCCTGGTGAAGGCGAAACACACACTCCTCAGGCTACCAAGTCGGTGCTCTACTTCCTTCCAGCTCAGTTGCGAGCACCCAGCACGTCTCGGGGACACTCATGATTGTCATTGACATCCTCGGTCTTGTTTGTCTTGTTTGTTAGGTTAGGTTAGGTTAGGTCAGGTTAGGTTAGGTTAGGTTAGGTTTTGTTTGTTTGCATGCTTGCTTGCTTGCTTGTTTTTTTTGTTTGTTTGTTTGTTTGTTTGTGCTCCCACACAAATTGTGCTTGGAGGATCAGTGCAGGGGAAGGTGGATGCAGCCAGATATACTTGGAACAAAGTTCAACCTACAGCCCCCAGGACCTATACAGCTTGCCTGTTTCGTCATGGTTCTTGTCGCGGAAAAAGGTTCCATGCTTTTGATCGCTGGCGCTGCTGGGTTCAAGGAACGTATCAACCCCAGAAAAGTCTGGGCAGCAAGTGGAGTAGTGGTGAGGAGAGCTCGCGAAGATGAACGAGTATGAGTGGCTTGCCGTTCTTGGCGGCTTTTTTGGGGTCTCACCAGTCTCACAATGTCTCTGTTTTCGTTTGCCAAAGGGGCAGGTGTTCGGTGCTAGGGTAGCCAAGTGCCAATTGGACACTAGTCAAGATGTTTCAAACTGAGACCAGTGTTCTTTTATTTTTCACATCAGTGGGTGAACCAAGGGTGCAGTGGAGCAAAGGCAAGGGCCTTGTACTTGTAATACCGCCATGCTACCTTTTGAGACCAGGAGTTTGCGCAGTGTGGCAGTGTGGTGAGTCAGTAAACGGACCCATCACCCAAAAACATGGGCACCAGCGATGTGCTTTTCCACCGCCTAGATCTGAGGTACATTTACATGAAGAAGCGCAAGGACTTTGGCCGATACTGTAATTTCGATACAGTGGAGGTGGCCTCCTGAGAATTTGGGATGATGCGAGTGTGCTGACAGGTGCATAAGATTGAGCTGCACAAATGGGGTCAACCATTTGGGCAGCCGAATCCTGCAGTGAGAGAGACAATTGTTCTCGGGCCATTTGATGCAAGCCTTCTAGTGACTAGTGCCAAAGCCGAAGAGATGTAATGTAACGATTGCATTGTTGGATTCCAGGCCAAGATCCTTGGGCAAGTGGAGAAGCAACCATCATGCGGCGACATGTATGTGGAGCAAACCATCATCAATGCCGCAACCTGGCGCACGCAGACACGAGCAAGCAACCCCCTCAAAAGAAAGCAGGTCAAAGCCCCTGCAGGGATTCGCAGCATCCAGCTGCTGGTCACGCAAACACCATACCCGTCGCAGGTCCCAAATTTGAGGGCATTCAGCTGACGAGCAATGTCGGACCGTTTTCCATTTTGGCACCAGGTCCCATTCAACTGCAGGTTCTGGTGTGGTGCGGCCCTTGCAAAGAGTGAACAGCGGACCGATATCGTGTTCATGACGGCAAGGAGGGGCACAGCGAGAGCGCTGGGGAACATTTCCCCCGACCCCCAAGTAGATGCGACCAGTTTGCCAATGCATGTTTTTTTGTATGATGTTTTTGAAGCATTTTGAAGCTATATATAGACCGAATCTTTGGATGGATGGTCAGTCATCAAGATCCAACTCGGATGGGTTTGAGGGTCCCACAGTGGTTCATGTGGTTGGATAGCTCCCGCCCTCCTCAGCTTCCCATTGGCCCATCAGTGAGGAGCCACTGACCAGATGACCAGACGATGTTTGCATGGTCCCCAAATCCAATGACCCGTCCCCTATGTGATTTGTAGCTGGGAATGGTGGCGGTATGGAAGTCTTTCTCCAAAATTATTGACCTTCAATGCTCTTCCACCACATGGCGGAGCGCTGCAGGTCTTTCACAACATCCCGGAGTTTTCTGAGCACTCGGTGAACACGGCCAGGGTGAAGACCCACGCGCGGGTGATGACCCATGTGGAGGGTGGATGGCCAAAGGAGATCGACTACAGTCACTGGGCGTGAAACAATTCAGGAGTGTGGTAGAAGTGGCAAACATTTGACAGCCACTGAGTGTTGTAGAATCACGTGCGAGTCTTCAGCACTGAGAGACGACTTGGTTTTCACATCGCCGGCATTCCGGTCCACGATCGACCACGGAGGATCTACTCAGATTCACTCCACTTGAGTTGCACATCGTTGCAGCATGTGGCCCGGCTTTTTGCCTGGGATTGGTTACTTTCCCTAACTCAGGGTGAATCCCCCCTTCTGGGGAAGCGTTTTTCCCGGTTGCTTAGGCACCGAGAAAACTGAGGTGAAGCGCAGGATACGCTCAAGTACCGCAAGCGCCTGGAGAAGGAGCGGAGTTCGCCGTTGCTTCCCGATTCCACTCGGAGCACCGCTGGCCGGGTGCGGAGTCTCGATCGGTGGGGGTGCGGAGTCTCGATCGCCCACATCCACATGGTGGAGAGGAATGAATCGGAAGAGTCACGGGAGGATGAGCAAGCCAGGATTTTTGTGTCCTATGTCATGTCCATGTCCCTGCTTAGTTCCTGGACTTCCGGGGTGAGTCACCAATGCTTACTTTGGCATGGAATCAGAGAAGTGCCTTCCAACACGCAAGACGATTTGTTTGTCTAAGGGCCAGTGGTTTGGGTGTTCCACAAGCTACGCTCCCGAAAACTAACATAGACCCTGACAATGGCCCCTTGGAAGATTGTTCCCCTTTGCCAACCAGTGGTTTTCAGGGTCCATGTTTAGTCTTCCAGGGTGTAGTTTCTTGATGTTTTTTGGGCGAGTGTGCCATGGCCGCCTGATTGAGGCCCCTCACACGCATCCTAGCGCCAGGATCCGGCCTACATTAGTGCGGTGAGGCAACTGACGAAGCAGACCATTCCGTGCTTGGAGATGATGCTTGGTGGAATCTTTGGGTTCCCTCTCCGTGTTTGATTGAATTCCAGAAGTACTTCCAATCTGTGCCATGTCACCTGGCACATAGATGTGCAGAGGACCTGCAATCGCTGCAGCTAGGGGGAGTTTTTCGGCCTGGGGTATCCGAGCGGATCCGAGTGGGACTCAGTGGGTTGGGCGGATGAGAACCGCATGCTGCTGAGGAACAACACCATCGATCTCTTTGAGATTTATTTCCAAGATGAGGAGCCTGACCACATGCCGGAGATTCTCAACTTGAAGACCATCGCCCTTTTCAAGGAGCGCGCTTGTCGGGGTCCAACGAGCAAGCCGCCAGAAGGCAAAGATCATCAACGATCATGTCCAGGCCTTTGTGAAATCAATGCAGCATCATCGCTCCAGTTGGTGAAGGAGGTGCTATTTCTTTTTGTCATCTATGCGACTCAGGATTCTAGCACTGTGCTACCAGATGATCTTGTGCCAGTGGTGCAGACTAGAATAGAGTAACAGAGTGGTGGGAGATGGTGGGAGCGTTTGGCATCTCCCCCCACCCTCAACTCTTCCCCTCGCTTTCCTCGCTTCATATTGGGTGCACGACCGAGACATACCGAGACGCTAGACGTTCCAAAGGACCCCTCCGATGAAGCTCGGAGTGTGACCAAGATCGGGTGGCACCCGGAGGGGCCAACCAAGCTGCTTGGCCCATTTGGAGGTGTGGGTGCAACGAACCCCGCAACAGGATGCAACAGGCCCATTTGAGGAGGCAAAGGGTGGCAGACCTGTAAGGAGGAGATGACCATGACGACCAGGTTGGGGCATATGCGAGATACTTCAAGACTTCAAGATTCCAAATCAGCACAGGAAAAACAACTATGGCAGCACTGTTCGGAACAAAGTTATACACCAAAACAGCTCAGCCATGTCATCCAGTGCATGACCGGGCAATCGTTCCTCTACTTTTAACAACTCCAAACATCGTTCCGGGCAGCGCTCGACCGGGCCGTTCTAGCAGCTTCTAGCAGTTGAATGCTGACCCAAGGCTGGTCGGGTCCTACTCGAATCTCCGATTCCAGCGCAGCTTGGCGGGCTGTTCGGGAGGTGGTCCCAAAAATAAGGTTTTGTTGGTGGGAGTCGTAGGTGTGCAGTCCAAGTACTAAGCTTATACTAAGCTCTTGTGTTTGATATTCTGGGATGCTCTAGCATGCGCCAGCATTTCTAGCAGAAGGCCCTTTGGTTTCTTGGAGGTCCCTCATCCGAACGTCCCAGCTGAGTGTCCAGCATCGATCAAGCGTGATCAAACATAAGGCTTGCCAAACAATTGGCTCTCCCAAAGACCGGGCCATGTTACTACTCTACTTGTATTTTACGCTAGCATGTTATCATATGTTATCCAGTTGCGGCACCCAACAAACATGGAAGTAGGAACAGTTAGAGTATGTCAGAGTCCGAGCGAAGTCATCTTCCAAGCTCCAAAGGTACGCCTCAAATTAAGTACGAGGCAAAAACCTGCCGGGAGACCCTGTTCCCAGTCACCCTCCCTCAGGGATGTCGGAAGACATGCCGATGGCCTCCTTCATTTGGGACATTAGCGAGCGAAACGTGCCGCTGATGGAGTTGCGAGCCACCTCCCCACTGATCTGCTGCCAGTACAATCAGAAGAATCCCGATTGGCGACTTGGGGCCTGACGTGGATGATTTGGGGAGCAGCGGTGCGGTGGAGTGGTTTCGGCCCCAAACTGAACTGGATGCAGAGTTTCCAGAACCATTGGCAATCGAATGTCTTTCCTTTCCAGATGAAATATGCTTGGGCCCAGGTCTTGCCCTAGCCACCCCAGATGTGTGATCTCACTCGCATCCACCTGGACAAGTTGTTTTCACCCATCAGTTTGAATGTATAGATCAAACCAAGATTTGTTTTTTGCAGGCCATCGAAGGCCTTTCCTTCAGGTTACAGTACAGCCCTCAATAGGGAAGCCCCAACGGCAGAAGGAAGGTTTGTGACAGGCAGTGAGGGGTATGGGTTCAGCGAGCCGCATGCAGGATGATTGGCGGCAACATTGGAAAACTGAGTAGGTCCTCCTGCGCTTGGATTGAACAACTACTTCTATAGATTGTAGATGGGCCCTGACCCAGACCCCAGAACTGCCAATTCTGCTGGCCGAGCAAGCCCCAACGGTTCGCAGATGGCAGGTGGGTTTGGGGGGCAGTCGTGGTGGAACACCCCAGTGGGCAAGTGGCCGTTTTCTAGCTTTGGTCCAAGCACTCATGGGGTGTGCTCTCAGGCTGCTTGGAGGAAGCTACAGTGGCTTGATCAACCACTACGATCTCCGGAAAGGCCCGTCCCCGTGCATGAAGTCCTCTGTCGAAGTGGGCCACTACGATCCAGTTCCTGGGCCTGAGACCAGGGAAACGGTGCGAAAACCATGAGAACACGGTGGAACCTGGTGGAACTGCGGTCAGGGGTCCCCCAAAAGTCACAGCCGTGGTGGAGCCTTGCCTTCAACTTCTGCCGTGAAGTCGTTCAAAGATTGGGTGAAAGGTCACGTTGATCATGCCGGCCTGGGAGGCTTGCAAGACATCGCAGGACCATGTCAGGAGACGAGGTTTATTGGACATAACGCGTGGAAGAGGGGCCCTTGGCTTAGGGTGTAGCGGTGTAGCATTCGAAGGGTGCCAAGTTGGTGGACTTTTTTAAACCAGCACAAGAGTGGCGTATTGCCTCTGAGGTCTACGATGTGGTCTGGCTGCAGAGCAAGACTGGCATCCTGGATGTGCATCAGACATCCTCAAACCCAGACTGCTGTTGTGTTTCTTGCTGTTTCTGTCTTGTTTGCGGTCCCCTCCTCCCCTCATCCTCCAGCGGCCCGCCGGTCTCCACCGGTGGACCCAGGCACCGAGTGCGCCTCCGTCTCCTCGGACGGCCGCTTGCTCTTCTGGGACGTCCGGAAGCTCAACGAGGTGCGGCGCCGACGACGTTCTCCCCTTCGAACCCCCCCCTCCCCCGAAGGAAAGGACGGAGGAGCGATGGAGTGGAGTGAGTGCTTTTCTGGTGCTTTTTCTGGCTTGAACCGCTGGACAAGAGAAAAGAGTTGGATATCTCTTCACTGGATGTAGGAACTTCTGGTAGTCAATCTGTAGTCCATGCAGAGACCCCCGTCAGATCATAACTTTTAAGGGTCAAGGGGTGACATGAGACATGTTTTCCAGAGTTGGTTTTGTTCTATTTGATTCTATCCACTTGGTGGAGGAATCACTTTGCCACTCACCGTTTCCGGACCCATCACATTTCTAAAACCGGTTCAACATGGTTAAGAATTTGAAGGTGCCACGTCGAAGTGGATGCTTGGGGAAGATCGAGCCGATATGGATGTTGGTGTGGGTCAAAACCTGGAGCCCAAAAACCATGTCCCTTGTTGTTTATTCTGATCTTCCCAGCAAGGCACCATAAGGATTGCCATCAGAGGAGAGTGTTCATTTGGTGGTCACTATATTTAGGGGCCCGCTTTGGTAAATCGATGCTTTTCACCGCTTTCCATGGATTGGAACCAGCTGAAGTTGATGGTGAGTGCTCCTTTTCATGCCTGGTGCGTGGAATATCAAACATGGAGCTGTTTTTTTCCGGTTTTTTAGCACCTCCCACCCCTGGCATCCTTGCTAGGTGTCAGATGAGTGTGTGCTGACCGATGGCAACAAAGAGAGCCCCAAGACCTTAGGCTCCTTGCCATTTCGCTCAGCTGCTGGAGAGTGGGAGGTCGCCCGTTACTAACCCATGATTGGGTGGGCACAAAGGAACTCACCAGCAACAAGCTAAGCAGCCATGAAATGATGCAACCCAAAGTTGCAAACGCCACTCCACAGTCACCAGCAGAAGTTTGTTTAATATGACTTGACCGACTTGACTTAATATGACTTGCCTTCAATTGCAGATAGGTGCTTCGCAGTGCAACGTGTTGATGCCTGCCGTTCCTTGCCCTGTTTTTCGGAACAACCCTGCTCGGACTGACCTGGGTCTTCTTGTGATCCTCCCAGTGTGGATCACCTTGAGCCTCTTTCCGGAAACTGAGACGCTAGTGACCCTTTGGTGTCCTGGATCCCACTTTTGGGAGGGCAGACGGGCGAATGGAGGGCGAGACGATTCATCCCCGCGGCGCGGTCCCGTGGCACGCCGGTCCTGAGGTGGAGTGTCTTTGGAGTGGATGCAAGAAGCCGGTCCTACCAAGTTCCTGGTGGCCTCGGCAGTATGGGCAGTCATGGCTAGTCAGGAAGTGGAAAAGAATGGGGCGTCAATGGACATGAACCGACATGCAAGAGGAAGAGAATTGACATGCTCTGCAGGTCCTAGCCGAGCCATGGTGAACTTTTTAATTTGTTGTGTTTTCAGTCAGGTTTGGCAGCTCCAGCTTCAGATCACCACCAACTAAGTCCAGAACACTGAGCTGATGTTATATAATTGTATTCATGTTTTATCATTGTCAGATCCAGTTGATCCAGTGATCCTGTTTTCCTCCTGTTCCACGCGGCACGACGCGAGCTTGTTGAACGGTGTTCTGGACCCCCCCCTCCGTGCTGACCAAGGTGGGCTCCGAGCATGGTATCATTCTCTCCTGCACCAAGCGCCCCAAGAAACAGGCTGGAGACCAAATTCAGTGAACTAATTGCAAGTTGTTGTGGATTGGAGGTGACTTGCCATGACTTCACCCCATGAACAGATCTCACCAGAGCTACTGTTTTTGAATGATGGAATTTAGATGAGAGTGCACCATAGTGCACCTCCAAGTTTGCTTTCGAAGGCAGAAGTGTCGTATTGTTCAGCATCGTAGGCACTCTGTGGAGAACCTTGTGTTGAGGTTGGCGTAGGCTCTACTTCGATCTTGTTCTACATATTTCTACATGATCTTATACGAAAGCCAAATCACCATCAATGACTGACTACTGGGATTTGAAAGGGCTCAAGGGAACTTGTATATCAACTTATATACCTGCGAGTGAGTGTTGGTTGGGGAAACAATTGCAACAGACCTGGTTGACCTGGGTGGGGGTCCCAGTTCATTGGCCACAGAATCGCTCCAAGAGAGGTGTCACAGCAGTGCAACAATGTCGTTGAAGGGAGAGGAAGCATAGAGGGCTGATGCAGCCAACATACATGCACAAACTTTGGTCCGGAGTCTTGAGCTTTTGGAACCCCTTGTCATGCACATCATATTTATCATTGTATTGTATCCCTACAATGACCTCATTTTACTGGAGTCACTCATACAAAAACACTACTCAAGGAGGTAAAAGACCAGGGTTTGTTGAGTCTGTGGACTTGCAGGGTATGTACAAAATACATATATACATATATATATATATATACATATTGGTCGCACCTCCGAGTCCCAGCTCTCACCCAACCTCGGCTTCGCCCGCCGATGGACGCGCCAGCTCTGCCCGATCAGGTGGAGATCGGCACCTGGTTCGGCTCCGAAGACCGGGGCGGCTACGGGAAGCACTTCGGCCCCGTGTACTCCGTGAAGCGGCCGCTCGGTACGAAGAAAGAGAGGCACCAGCATCCGCATGAGCATGATCATCATATATTGCAAGGAACGGGACCGGATCCTGGGTTTCAGAGTTTCTCTAATATTTGTAACCTTTGTTTAAAGCTTCGGCGTTTGCTTCGCAAAGCTTGGAGTTGTTTTAGTCAGGTCGTTGATCCGACTTGGGGGGGTGGAAGGAGTTAGATGAACTCCTGCAGGCCACGAGGCATCCGAGGCGTTTGCAGCTCCCCTATGGCTTGAACAACGTCCACCATAATTAGAGTGGGCCATTCGTGTTGAGCCATGCCAAAGGGGTGAAACAGAAGAACTCCCCTTTGGCATGTGCACCGGTTCTTTCTCTTTTTTTCGTCTCAGGGGGCCTGTACCCGTTCGTGTGCAAGGGGTCGGGGCGGAATCTCCGAAATCTGAGAAACCCCTTCCACGTGAAGTTCTTCCTCTCCGTGGGCGATTGGTGCGGGAAGATGTGGATGGAGGAGCTCAAAGGCGGTCACCGTGCGGGGACGTCGGTCGGACGAAGTCTTCGGGGCAAAAGCGGTCATGAAGAGCCGGCATGGCACGAGAGGGGTTTAGGGTCTGAGGATGTGTGAGGGTTTAGGGTTGAGGAGGTCTTATTCTGTTGAACATGTCGTGCAAAATGCTGAGGAGTAAAAACCCTGGGGCGCCGGGAGGGATAGGATATCAGGTTCGGTGACGGAAGTTTACACTTCAAGGGTCAACTATAATCAAATATATATATAGGTAAAGATAATTAAAAATCAAGGTAAGATTTGAAGCGAGCTGAGGCAAAGACTACGCGTTTCATACTTCATTCTTAGTCTTAATATACATGATACTTGCAAAGACTTGCTACAGATCGGTTGAGCAAGTACGAACTTGGTCCTGAAAAAAAGAGGGTTTGGAGAGGGTGTTGCGTCCGGATCCCGACCAGAATGGGGTTGAGGAGCAGGAGGGTGAAGGGTAGATGTTTTGACTTGAGGTCATGGATTTACCATGATTTACCTCGTGCCGCTTCAGCTGCCATGTCCTACATCCAGCACCATTGGTCTAACCCCAGGACCGTGGCCTCATTCGACCGGGCCGCCCTGTGTGACACATGGCGCCGGGCTGCAGGTCCGATGCTTCAGACGCCCTACTACCCTGCCTTCATCAGCGCGGCAGCATGGAGTCCGACGCGTGCGGGCGTGCCTTGGAGTGGCAGCTGGGTTCAGCTGGACTTGAGGGCCATCGAAGTCAGAAGCACGAAGAGCAGTTGCTGGGACGGCTTTGAACTTGCCAAAGTCCAATACTTTTGGGCGTGATTGAAACGGGGGAGTTCTCATAGGTTTTAAGCTGTTCTTTTTTCCACAGTGTGTGCTATGATGTGCTATGCCCATGCTAGTTTGGGGAGGGCATCATTTAGGATACATCGTTGGTGAAATGCTGGTCCAATGAAAGGACATGATCACATTCCGATCTCCAGACTTGTATACAGTAATACCTTTTGGTATGTCATCTCCGGCTGTTTCCACTGCCTCCTTGGTATGTCCACCATCCGGGCGGCGAAAACAAGCGACTCCTTGCGCCGGAAAGCCGTCCTCCACCCAGGTCTTCTTCTTGGCCCGGCAGGATGGGCGTTTGGATGTGTGGGACTACTTCTACCGCATGAACGAGGCGGCACTTCGTGAACTGGTCGTTGGAAATTTGGCAGGCTTGAGTTTTAACACATATACATAAATATATATATATATGTATATCAATATTAATTATGTATTATGTATATTACTTGTTTAAAGCGTCTTAAAAGCTACTTGACATGTAATTAACAGACCTTTGTAGACAAGAGAGGTGTCATATATCGTGCCTTTACTCAATTGGCTGCGTTCCGTGTGGGTTCCCCCGCACCGGTGCCAGGTGGCGCTCACACAGCAGGTCTCGGACCGGGCGTTGACCTCCTTGAAGCTCGGTGCTCGCGGGCGGGTTGGGGTCGATGCGACAAGCGCGGTGGTTCGACATGGACAGAGCTGGATGGTCCCACTATGTTACTAAATGTTTATGGCACATTCGATGAAGGGGAAGGGAAGTCTTTGTCACCAAGTGTAGGGTTTCTATGGGCTTCTTGGGTCAGCCCCACCAGCCCCAGCATTTGCCACCCAAGGAATGTTCAGTCTCACGGCCGTTTGGCTGCTGTTGGAGATGCAGGAGGCGGGCAGCAAAAAGAAGCGCATACCACAAGCAGACAGGATCCCGCTCAATGTCTTTTTCCTCACTAGCATCTCGAGATCTCCGCAGGCCACCCTTGGCATAGAAGGTATATGCACGCTTGGCACCCCTTGATCATCCCAAGCTGATGATTTCCAGTGGCCCCCAGCAGCATCCACACAATTGTGTGTTATTAATTTTGGCCACGGGCCACTTCAACCGGTTCCTCTGCCTTGGCCAGCCTGGCCGTAGGCGTCATCACCCTGCTGCAGCTTTGCGATGGCTTAGTAGAGCCAGGCGAGGTTCTGGGTTTTGAGCTAGATACCGTACGTACAAGCAAGACGAATGCGAGTCGAGACACCCTGTTTTCTTGTTTTCAATATTTTGACTCAGTAGTTGTTTTTGCATTATCCGTTAACATGTCGCAAGTTGTTTCCGAAGAGGAGCGGAATTCCAGTCGTACAGCTGGCTTTTTGTGTTGGGTTATATACTCAATTCAAGTATACATCCAAATGAGTCTGTTACTTTTATCCACATCTTTGATTAGTCGTAGACTCGTTAGACCGGATTGACCTCAGGGCCCAATGAGAAAAACGCGATTGGCTGGATGTTCGACCGGGAGACCAAGAGAGAGAAGGCCTTGGATCAGATCAAGAAGCAAGGTGGAGGACCCAAGAAGGACTGCTCTTCGATGCTCCATGCATCTTGGAAGTGCAGCAATTGATGCGGAGGATCATTTTCTTTGTACCCAGCCAAGAGTTTTCACATCGTTTCATACTGTTTCACGATGTTTCACCGACTCCTGACACCACTGTTCTTCGTTCCGCGCGCAGGATGACAAGGAGGGGGCCACTGGAACCAGCATTGACAAGACCAAGTACCAAGAGCGTGAGAAGGCCTTCTTCACCGAGCCACTTGGAGGAAGTTGAAGTTCTACGCCCGGTGTGGCGGGGAAGCGGCCCTTACCCCTTGGTGCCGAGTGACGATTGTAGGGGATGTGGTAGTTTGAGAGATGGCAAGACTTGCGTAGCTGTCAGGCAGTTTCTGTAGATCCTCATTATCATGGCTGTGTGCCACCTATGACCTACTAATAGTGGCAAAGGCTATTTTGCACACGCGCACACACACACAACCTCCTTCATGGGCGCGTAGTTTCCTATGATGTTCTGCAGTCTAGCTCATGGATTTCACTTGTGAACTTGCTTGAAGCATTCCTAAGCAATCCATCTATATACACTCTCTGAAAACATCATGGAAGTGGATGGCATGGCCCCTTGGACGACCATATTCCGAACACCTAACAGGTGGCGACCTCCGTTTCCTGGATTATTGTTTCAAGGGGTCTATCGCATGTTATATCGACCTTTAGCCAACCAGCAAACCGTGGTGCTTCTCGGGCTGATTGGCTGGGCCGGGTTCCAGAGCTCCCTTCCTCATTGGTCGAGCCAGACACCCGCTCCTTTTGCGCCCTTCAATGCCTTCGTCGCATTATTTGCTACACGACTTGCGGGCAGCATGAAATGTGCCAGTGATTTCTTTGTACTTAGTTGTGTTGTGTTGAACTTGTTGCACTGATGTGTGAAGAAGATTGTAGCCACGTTTTCTCCACCACTGAGGCTCAACATGACGGGTGATGACTTAGGCACCACCCTGCCAGCTCGTTAAGCGGCGGGATATGTGGTCGAAAAAGGATTCCTTTTCCTCAGGACTTGGGCGAAGGAAGGCGGGGACTGGTGATGTTTAGATGAAGCCAGTTCCACGACTCCTCGATGCTCAATCCTTGCAGCCTCAAGTCTCACAATGATGGGAACTTGATCACCATCCCACCATCGCTAGGATCCCAGCAGCGGAATCTCAAAACTGCGGACTCATCATGGTCGATGTGATGATGGTGCATGTTCACACAGGGATGGATATATATATATATATTGTTCACACTTGGTGGGAGCATTCAGATTCCCATTGGCACAGGGTGCCGGTGACTGAAGCTCGCATCCTATGCTCGCATGTGACTTGAAGCGTTTCACCCTCAGTCGCCTCAGCCGCCTGACGTCGAAAGTGGCAAGGCAAAAAAGGTCAGTGCTCTTTAGGCGGCTATGACATTCCTGGTTTTGCTTAGGAGGATTCTGTTTAATTTTCCCTAAGTGAACCCCCTTCCGTTGCCCGCCCAGGAAATCTTTGATCCCGGTTCCTTAAGCAGATCCAAGCACTCGGACACCTTTTATATAAAAAACGGTGGCCCAAGACATGCAGAAAAATGGGACCGCGTGGAATTTAGACCAAATGAGTGTCGCTGACGGCATTCACGTGACATCACACGTCATTCACGCGCAGCAGGGGCAAGAAGCAGCGCTTGTGCTTCAGTTCCGGTATTGCCACTTGAGCTGTGGTATGATGTAGATTCACCTGTTCTTGCCAAGTCATGGGTGAAAAACTAGTAATTATCTCTTAGATCTTAGATCATCTTAGATCTATTTGCGAAAATCAGTACAAAACGCAGCACCTCGCCTTTTTTTGGCACTCTATTTATTGTGACCTGCCCAATGCGTCCCACCTCCCAATGGTTTGCTGTGGATCAATCCTTTGTCTCGCCCTTGAGAAACAAACCGCATTGAAAGCTGCTACAGCTTGGAAGATGGCTTTTCCCGACGAGCATTGCTTGGATCCTATGGGGCTGCTCGCATGATGCAGGGGATCCATCCAAATGCTCCTCTCCCTCAGGCGCTTCTGGTCAGTGCTGGGACCTCGCGCGGCAAGAGTTGCACTGCGTCATCGAGGCGCCGCGGCGGGCCGTCGGGGCCGGGGTGGTGGCTGTGAAGATCCCAAGGAGGCTCTACTGTTTATGGTTGACCCAAGTGTGCTTGGAGTCCATGAAGCCGGTCCAGGGCAGCTCGGGCTTGGCATGGTCCAGGGCAGGTGACATGACAGTTCTTGAACGGTCACGAAACATCAGGCTTGAGGTTTTCAGGATCCCTGAGTCTCGAAGTGCTGTGACGGAGATGTTAGGAGCGCCAACATCTCGACTAGACCAGGAAAGATGAACGAAAATACAACATGCATGATGATCATGATGCTGCAGTAGAATTAGGATGAATTAGGCATGTATGGGCTATAAGCACTCTTTTGGGTTTGTTCATTGTTTTGCGCATGTCTTCCAACTTCGTCATGAGTCTGGGACTTGTGCCTTGCAGCTGCCTATGCCGTCAGGACCTTGAGGCTTTGATGGGAGCCTGGGGGTCAGGGTTATGGGGGAACCTCGTTCGAAGCGAAACGGATGTGGCACCGGGCCCTGGACCGTGCGAACGCGACAGGATCCTTTCGCCTACGAAATGGGGTCAAACACCCAAGTTCCAGGATGTTGACATTCCACTGGTATGGTGTTTAGACTTCGCGTTTCTTCCACATATATCAGCAGCAAAATCGACAGCGCGCAGGCTGCATGCACCGTGCACAGATATCATGCTTTCGGCAGGGCCATTGGATAGAACAAATTTCATTGTGGTATAGACGGTATCGAATGTGACATATGATATGGAATTGATGGAATGAGGCAAGCAGCGGCTCCTCCTTGAATTCAAAGAGGAACCCTGCCACAGCAGTTTCAAGGGGGACACAGTGGGGCACAGCTGGAAGGCACAAACCCAGCTGCTGCGGGTTGAACGCCGTAAAAGCATTGTAAAAGCTGCACATAAGCGTGGACCTGATGAAAGCCTGGGGACTAGGGCTGTTCTTGGAGAGTATTTTGGCGGGGAACTGCCCGATTTCGCTCTGTTGGACAAGGACTGGGCGCACATTTCTTTGGGTCTCCGGGTGCGGATCCGGGTGTCCAACAGCTTGGTGGTTCTCCGACCTCATGGGCTGAACATGTTCCTGTGCTCCGTACACCGCATCTTTTGGATCAATGGATGAGCCTTGCACGGCATGAAAACCAGCACTCGCAAAGTGAAGTGTAAAGTGATTTGTGTCCACACATTTGGCCTGGAGTGCTCATTCACGACATTCTTGGCCAATCCTAGAGAGCACCTCAAAGATTTGGCTGGCTTCTGAAGAGTTTCCGGAGTCTTGTTCGGCAGAAGCCCAGGTCAGGACCTCTGCAGAGAGGTATTAGAGAAGCCTGGCTCCACAGTAGTTGCGAGTACACCAAAACACGCACAGGCAGGCAGGCAGGCAGGCAGGCAGGCAGACAGACAGACAGACAGACTTATTTTTGGGGGAAGTGAGGACTCCAGAACCACCCCTGAAAGGTTGATTCAACTCTCGATGTGCAAAGGGTTTCAATCGCTTTACGTCTTACAGATCAGAGTGATCAATCAGCTCAATGTCCCGATGCAGTGGCAGAGCCACCCTTGGATCCCCCGCGCTGTGGTTCAGCACACTGCCATGGGGCCTGCGTGGTGTGCGTGGCCTGCATGGCTTGGGGCTAGCTTTGTGTGGTCATGGGCCACCGCCATGGAGATTGGCCAGTCTGCCTGCGCCTGGGATGGGATGGCTACAGGATTGGTTGGATAGGTGCAGTTCAACTTGGATAGAATTCCCCTAAAGATGTGTGACTAGAAAGCATAGATGACCCGGTGGGTCCCTGCAAACTATGTTTAGATCTTTGGTGGGAAGTGAGCAAAAAGCACCCAAAGAGACATATCAGCCTGTTGTTAGATGTAGTAAGGCATTGTGAGGGGAACTTTCGGGTTCAGGGTCACTTTATGTTATTCAATATAATAGGACAATCCATATAACAACATAAGTATTGTGCTGTTTTGTGTGCACAACATCCCTGTCTGTTGGGATAGTTTCTTGAGATGTCCTGTAGATGGGAGCCATTGGGAGTCCATATAGACCACAAAACGTGGGGATTTTGCAACCTACTGACCAGGCAGTGTATATAGTTCAGCCGCTGTGAGGTTCCATCCGCCGACCTCAAGATTGCCCGGTGCGCGCCGTGCTGGACGGCGCAGCTTCAGCAGCCTTGCGCTTCGATGGCCTTGGCGCTGTTTCCGCCGGAGGCACGTCCCAAGAACCAAATGCTGGTGCTCACTTTGACTAGGATTTCCAGTTACACCCTGTGTGTAGTCGTGACCTAAATTACATCTAACAATACAAAACCAAAAAAAAACATTTCTGTTTTTTTCAGAGTGGCATGGCAACAACTAGTGTGCACTTGTGCAGGACATCAGATGTGGGGACACGTTCCTGGGGTGATGGTGGCGAGTGCCAAAGGTTGATCACACACACAATATATATATAGTTATAGTATCGTTGGCAATTAGCCCTCATGAAGCCATTGTCCATTTCCACCGAGGGCTGGAAAACCAAATGGAAGATAGTGGAAGGCCAAAGAATTGCCCAACAATCGTGCACATTGACTGGGCCCTGGGCCCTTTGGTGATAAATATCGCCAAGCCTTACCTTACCAACTATTATTTTTCTTGAATTTTGGTGCTTGGCTCAAGACGGACAAGTCCGGCAAAGTCCAGTCAGGAACCTCCAGATATCTCTACGACTATGCGGAGCCCATCCGCTCGGAAATTCTGGATTTGCTGCCCCTTGGGCCTCCGCTGTGGTCCTTTCGACTTTTGCTGGCGTGTAGCGATTTCAAGCAAAGGCATCATTTGGCCATGGGCCCGAGGCATATAGTAATATAGTTATAGGACATGGCATGAGTTGCGCGAGGATTCTCAGGACTTGCTTCCCCTTATTTACCCTTCGCGCCTACACAAGGTGCCAGGGCCTTGACAAGCACTTCAGTTGTTCTCGCAGAGTGGCCGCAAGACTATTTAAATCCAACAGAACGAGGATGGGAAGGCCGATGTTCTTTGCGTTGTTGACTCCCAACCGACCTTTGGGGCGATCAATTGGGTGAACATTTGGTGCCGAAAGCGCTTGAAATTCGCTTAGTCTCAGAGCCACTCTCCTCGCAGAGGGCCAACTCCTTGGGGTCTGCACTTCTAGGTTCCTGCCGGGCTATGCCGCCTCGATCCAGGCGAGGGAATGGGGGTAGAAGATGGTAGAAGCCTGTTGGGGCACGGGATCAGATGGAAGTTACACATCAGCCATTAGAAGATGTGCAGCAGTGGATGAAGTGCTCTTTTTCCACCTTTGTATTTGCCTACTTCGCGAAAGTAGCCCAGAAGCATGACAACGTGTTGGATCTCCCTTTGGGCAGACAAAGTTGGCCAGTCTCATCCACTGCAGGTGCTGAAGGTGGAGATCGGCGGGGATGCGCAATCCGGGCTCCTTGGGTACAAAAAGCACGTGAGCAAAAGGATTTAGAGCAAGAACAGCAAGAACCCGGGTTCTTCCGACTGCCCGGCCGGTTCTTCCACATCGTGCCAGTTCGTGCCACCCTTTTGGTCCAACAAAGGGGTGCTTGCTTCCCGAATGAGCAGCAGCAAGAGGCTAAACTCTCTTTTAGCAAGGGGCTCAAATGTATGTAAATACACTTATTGTGTATGATATGTATGGACTCTATGACTGTGACCGTATATCTCTTTCTTTTCGCATTTTATCACCTTTCGTTCCAAACCAGCTCACCTTCGCAGGAGCCACCCGGACCCTTCAAACCTGCACCTCCCGGTCCGCCCAGGTTCGGCGTGCAGCCGAGCCACCGCCGCGAGGCCAACGAGACCCGCTGTGAGCGCGGCGACACCTTCTGGCTGATCCGCGAGGCGAGAGCTGCGCAGCAAAAGCCAAAGAATGGAGTAAAGGTATCATGTATGGACTGTGGTCTTCACAGGGAAGGGAGTCCAAATGAGTCCAAGATTTCTAAGGGCGGGGATTCACTTGTAATTATCATATTGTATCTATTTTGGAGGTGACTGGTGCAATGAGGAAGCTATCAAATATAGTTTGGTCCTAGACCAACTTTGACTCCAGCAGACGTGATCGAGCGCATACACTGGTCCAGTGGACGACGATGATGGAGAGAGAGACACAGAGTTCCAAACGAGCAGTTTCTAGATTCTAGACCCAGATAGGCATGTAGGCCCTAAGGAAGGCCCCATCAAGCACCCTCCATAAACCAAATTCATCCAAGGTCTCATGTTGGAATGTTTGGGACTTTCGTGGACGAATGTGTTCATATTTTGTGTTATGAAACGCAGTCAGGTGAAAGATTTCAAGTTTTTAGCACTTTTGATGTTGGACACATTGCGGTGAAATTGAAAGTGTGCCTTTTTTGGGGGGGAGTGTTTGTGTAGCGAATGCAGGCAGGTTCAAGGTGGTCGTGGTCCAGTCCAAGCTACAAGTTTGTTTCTTAGTCTATTGTTTTCTCTTTCAGGTGGGCAGTGGTGTAGCATGCCCCAACCCCAACCCCGCCGCAAACCTCCCTGTCCTGCACACACATCAAGTACTGGTAGCGCCTGAATCAAGAGGCAGGCCCATCGCGTCGCCTGGCCACAGAGCCGACAGATGGCCACAGAGCCGACTGCCAATAAAGACAGTCTCGGACTGTCTCAGAACTGTCCTGGTGATTCGCTGCCCACCCCGCAGTGAACCATCCAGGGTCATCGAAAAACCTCAAGCTGAGAGCAGACAGGCCCGAGGGGAGACCAGCTCAGAGCGATCGCTGGCAGGCGCGCAGGCGGAATCCTCAGCTGGTGCTGGTGGCCTCACCATGGACCTTCCCTCCATGGGTCGGGGTCGAGAACGCGACCCAGAGCCTTGGCGGCGATTGGCCCTTTGTATACGGGTGTTGGACAGTGTCCGGTCAAGCCACAAAGGGCACAGAGGACCCGGAGGAGACCCGCCTCCAATGTTGATTGACATGATGTGCAACTTTGGCAGTGCAGTCTTAAATCTTAAAAGGATCTTGGAAGTGAAGGGAAGCCTACTTGTCTCACTACCATTGCTGATTCAAGTCAGAGCGATCGCGAGCTGTAAGGACCAGCTTCTACAACAGCGATGCGATTGATTATATTCTGAGCCGCTTTGTTGAAGTGGATGGCGGGCGTATCAATATTCTCTTGGCAGTAGGGTGCCCTACTTGCAGGTGCCCCCTATTGGCTTGCATCGTTTGATACAACCCCAGAAAGATTTCGGCTTACGAATGAATGCCATAAATTCTAGCCAATTATTTTAGCGCACGTGAACCGTTCGATTGCCTTCTTCTTGGGCGACCGAACTCCGTTTCCGAGCACTCCAGGACCCAACACCCCAGCTCGTCACCGCTACGCACGAAGGATTGGTGCGTCGGAAGAAAGAAAGAAAGAAAGAGTGACGAAACACCACGTTGACAATCAACGAGTTCTGGATCTGATCTGGAGGATCTATATTTATATAAGCCCCACTCAGGCGAGATGGGGGATGCGTATAGTGTAGTCAGAATCAGAATAATATGTTCATTGTTTGATGAGCACATAGGTGCAGGAGAAGGAAGCACAGTAAGTATAGGATTCCTTCGGGTAATGATGAACGAAGAGGGTTAATCTCACCACCGCCTAGCTTGAGTTGCCACTCAATCAGTTCAGTCACTCTAAACATGCTAATACCATGGTTCATCAGGTCGGGTCTTTGACTGAAGTCATGGTCCCCCCTGCTTCTTGGGCAAGTTCTTGGGCCAACACTCTGCCATTTTTTGAGCCAGCATTTGTCACAAACCACCCTTCACCTCCCCAGTTGGCCTAGGTCTCCGTGGTCTCCCCAGCGATGTCTCCGTGGTTTCCCAGGTTGGATCGCTTGCGCCAACGCCACGGATGCCGGCCGCGTGGACTTCCTGGGCGGCCGCCCGCGACGGAGCTTGCGGGATCTGCTGGGGCGCCGCCGCCCGAAAAGCACATAGGAATGGGTCGTTGAAGCTGGTCCACCATGGAGCAAGTGACAGGTAGGTCAACCGTGGTTCCCCACCTGTCAGGTGAGGGTTGTTCCGTAGATTTTATGTCCGGATGGCAGTGTTCCCCGCCAGACCTCAACCGCGAGCTCCCGGCTGGCAGTGTTCCCTGCCGGACCTCAGCCGCGAGTCAGAAGATATGCCAGATAGAGCGCCAGAAAGAGTGTCAGAAGATGTGCCCGAAAGAATTTCAGAAGATATGCCAGGAAGAATGCCAGAGGATATGCCAGAGACAATGTCAGAAGATACGCCAGAAAGAATGTCAGAAGATATGCCAGAAAAAATGACGAAGTAGTGTTTCAATACATGCCGGAAATTTTGTTAGATTGAAATGTCATGGCGGGGACTACTCAAAGTGAAGCAATTTACCACGGAATCTTTTTTTGTGAAAAACAAACGCGTTCCTTGACGAACAGAGGTGGTTCACCACGGGTTCCCTCCATTGTCGCTGTTAGGAAATGCGTTGGACTCCAAGACCGGAGGGCTGAGACTCCATAGGAGTGTGTTTTGGGGCCAAATTTTGGGAAGTTCGAGGGGCGGAGGCTCCAAGGGTTCGCAAGGGGGCGCCTTGTTTTTTGACTTCCAATTTTGTGGGCCATGAACATCCAAACAAACCTCCAACAGATATAGGGTTCTGAAATGTTATTACGAATAAGTAGCAGCAATCCATTTTGGAGCTTTTTGTTGGCATTGGTAGCTCACATTGTTTTTCAGTTCTGGAACTTTGCAAGCAAGGGTTGAACATTGCAACTGCTGCGAGGTTCGAATCAGGCCCTCGTTTTCTTCCCATACTTTAATGGACTGAGGATGGTCATTAATGGACCAAGATGGACTTCTCCATTCTTCACCCTTCCCAGGTTTGGATCTTCACTCCTCCCAGATCGGTCATCTTTGGTGCCTTTTTCCTCACCTCCAGTCCAGATCCTACTCATAAAATCTCATAAAGAGGTTCTCGAAATGACCCATGGATGATCCCCTTTTTCTTTCAACAGAGCCTCGGCCCTTACCGAACACCCCTGCTCCATCCGTTTGAGGCCAGGGCCATGTGGCACCACCAGTGGCCTGGGTTTGGGAGCTTCGAACCGCCCTGGAACTTTGGATTAAAAGTTGTTTGGGCGATTTTTGGTAAAAGATCGGTAACTTTTTGTTCAAACAGAGCGCCAACAATTCAAGATCTTCATTCAGACCGCCCTGGAACTTGGATTGAATTCAGTGAACATCCGCAACTTCTTACAGCGTTCTGAGTGAAGATCCGCAACTTTCTTGCAGTCTGAAGATTTTTGAAGGATTTTCACTCCTTGGGGAACTCTAGAAGGATTGGAGGAAGATGGAGGAAGCCTGGGCGGAGTGGCACTTTTGGACATGATCTAGTCATATCTAGTCCATTTCACATCGCGGCTGGACTGTCAAACCACACGCTGCACGTGGCATCCATGCAGCTCTGCTTGGCACCGGCTGTAGGCCTCAGCGGAGGTGCCGACGCAGCTAGTCCTTCCTGATGCTGAACCTGCGGCTGGGATGGGGATGCACTGGTTTCATGTCTCAGCCCACTTAGGCATGAAGGCTAGACTCCGACTAAAACATGGCATGGAAGCGGAGATAGCTACCACTTAATGAAGCATCGTCAATGGACAGACTGTTCAACAATATGCCAGGGTAAGACATGCTCAGTTGGAATGCTCAATGTGCGTCATGTTGTCTCAATGTGAATGAGGGGCAAATGCAAAGTGCAAACAGAACCATAAACCACACACAACTTGCGGACGCATCTCCCGCCCCTCCAAGCTCTTCCACATAGGTGGGGTGCCCGAGGGATAGATAAACTACGTAGAGGACTCGGACGAGTGTGAACAAAACGGACCTATCCTGTCAATGCCGGCATAGACAAGCTCATGGGCAACCTATCGCGGTGGCCCTTAAGATTGGGCCAGCATGTTTGCTTTGAATGGACCTCACAAGGAGACGGATGTCAGCGCCAGCGCGGCCTCATGAACAAATCTCGGTGGACAAACCTCCTTGTTTGCCCACATCCATTTCGTGCAGTATGCTGGATGACCCTTGAGAAAACATTACCATTACTGGCCAATTGCCCTGTGACTAGTAGTGTCGGCGGGGTCAACTGAGTCCTCGGTAGACCCTTGCAAATCTCTTTCACACGTCCCCTCCCGAAAACTTACTCGGTCCACATGGATGTTAATTTCAGAAAAACGTTAACAAGCGCAATTAGATCGCACTTATAATCAATTGTGTATGTTTATATATTTCTACTTGTATCTATATATATAGTAAATATATAGTTCAATATGTTATATTGTTATTATACATGCATACCTATATTATTTATTCAGCAGACACGTTCTCGAGGGGAGAGACCACCATGGCCACATCTTCCCAGGACCCCTTGGATCCTCTGATGGATGCCAACGAGCTTTTGGGTGCCTACGGCCGCTCGGGACAACGAGCCACATCGACCAGTCAACGACTCAGAGTTTTACTCCTCTATGTGGCCAGGGCTTTGGTCATCAAAGGAGGCTTTGTAGATCTTTCAGCTTGGTTTTGGTTGCTATTGAACACTTGGGGCAGGAGAAGCCAGCAACACGAGAAGGTTTTTTCCTACCGACTGTATCAACGCGGTATAACGGGGTCAGATGTCGCATCATATATGTGTGAACTCATCAATATCAGCCAGACTGTTGCCACCAGGTAGCATTGGAAAGCCGGCATCGAACTTGACATGTTGTTTCTCTAAAGGCCAGGCGCCAACTCAGCAGGAGCGTGTTAGGTTCGTTTCGTGTACACCGTACTGAACCAATCTGAACCAAAACATCGGTGTGGCCTTCTTGAAACACAACTCTGTGGGCGCTGCACAGCATTGGGAGTTGGCACTCAAGAGCAGATCAGAGGGACAGAGGGACATACAGCCCATGCATATCCATGCATGCACATTGTCCAAAGATTTGCTCCAACTCTGGGAAGGGTCGTCGGTTCGTCGTGGGAAGGGAATATTGTTGTACCTAATCATGCCAATGGGGACACCTACAGCAGACAGATTGTAACAAATATCTCATTTGGCAGCCCAGGCCTACACTATCCTTGCTTTTTGCCAATGCCTTCACTACAAGAGAAGGGGTTGCCATTCTGGAGCACTGAAGATGGAGGGATGCTCGCTGCTCGCCAGCATTTTTCAGGGCACCTGCCTTTCGCCTCGCCAAACTATCGGTGTTTGGATCCCCAACGTCAACCAAAGGCGATCAATTCTGAATCAGCGGTCAGAACCGGGGGACCCTGATTGACCACTGAAAATGAACAGAATCAACTGCTGAGGAGGTCAACCCAGGAGGGTTTAGGGCTCCAGGTTTTGACTCGCTGCCATATTGGATTTACACTGGAGGCTTCAATCGCTTAAAGGGCCATGCGGCTGATGCTGGAGAACCCACCTGCTTAATGTCAGACCACGTCAGACCGGGACTTTCCGAGGCCGACTGGGCCGGCGCAGCCTGTGCGGGGCGCAGCATCAATACGTCTCTTGGAGATGCGGGGGTGGTGCTACCATCAGACATCATCAGACGTAGAATGTGCTCAGAAACCAGAATTTGCATGGCACAACATGAAACAACTAAGCAACATTAAACAACACCGGAATCCAGTGGAAGAATTCCTGAGGGTTTGCTGTGCACTCCTGCTGGGGGTAAAGGATTTCTGGAAATTTTGTGAGTTGCTCAACGAGTTCTTGCCATGGCTGCCAAGGAATCTGGTGAGGATGAACGTTCCTTGGATGAAGCAGAGCAGCCCAAGTCTTCAAGTCTTTGCTTGGCCTTGGCTGCGTTCTTCCTGTTGTGGCGGGCACGGAAAAAAGTTGAAACCCAGTTAGTTAGGCCATAGAATCTTGCAACCTTACTGCCCCTGAACATTTTTGGAGCCCAGTTAGGCCAAAGAATCTTGCCACCTGACTGCCCCGAAAAAGTTTTGTTCGATGCCCATTTAGGCCAGGGAGTCTGGCGACCGTACTACTTCATTTTCTATTCCCTTCCTGTTCCTCTTCCTCGTTCTTTTCTCTTTCTTTTTCCCTTTCTTTCTCTTTCTCTTTCCCTTTCTGCTTCTCTTTCTCTTTCTCTTTCTCTTCTTTTTTATCGTTCTCTTCCTCCTCCTTTTTCCCTTTGTTTTTCTTTGCATCTTTCTTTGGAAGAGGAAGAGAAGGAGAGGGAATAAGAAAAGCCAGAGCAATCCAGAGCAAGAAGAAGAAGAAGAGGAGGAGGAAGAGCAAGAGGAGAAGAACCAACAACACGAAATGCTCATAATGTAGGGCAACTCAGGCAGCACAGCTCGCACCAACCAATTTCCAAAAATGGGAAGGCCAGAAACACCGGCCGCCGGCCAGGTCACGGTGCCGGTGCCCCCATTCATATCCAAGCACTTGTTCGCGACCCCACATGCATCGGCAGGCAACAAGCACCTTGCTGCGTTCTCTTGCTTCTAGGCCGCAAGCAGCCAGAACGGGAGGATAGGGATGCTGCTACCAACTGGCTGTCGCGAAAGCAGGCCTTGTTTGGAGCGGCCCATGGCGTCACCAGGCCCAGTTCAATGTCCATGGACCGTCGGAGATGTTGGACAATGGCAGAATGACCGTCACCAGCACTAGTGACCTGAATGTGGCCTCAAATGGCAAAATGGATGCACCCTCCTTTCCCAAAAAAAACACCTCCGTGTCCTGATGGCTCAGCGCCACGCCCCCGTGACGGCCCACGATCCGTCCAGACCGAGGTGTGGGCGGTCCACCCTGCCTTGCCGGGACCTTGCGATGGCTTGCTGGACGCTCGTGAGCCCTGGTCTGGCAGGCGAGTGGATCAGGTTGGAGGAGAACAAGTCGAGGTCGAAGAAGAGACGGTGACGGAAGAGATAGATGTAGTTGCTTTGTTCTTGTTTTGGTTTTCTTTAAGATTATCTTTGTGATTTAGATCATCCACCAAGGTTAGGGTATTTGTGGTTCCCTTCTGGGAGGGAAGGTTCACCATTTCGGTTGGGGTTCGACCGGGCACCTGGCTTGAGTAAAGGCCAGCTGGTCGGTTCGGGACCCAATGGCTTCTAGCAAAAACCGGAGCAGGAGGAAGGACTGCTGGCGGCGCAGCTGTTTGCAGCTGTCCTTGTTTGGAAGGGAGATGGACACCAACTTGCAACAGCTTGTGTATGTTCCTCTTCACGCCGTTGCATGCAATCACACTTTCTTTCAAGACCTGCCCTCGAGCAATCGACCATCGAGGGCCTCGACCTCCCACAAACCATCGCGGTAGTTGATTTACCGCTTTGGTGGCAGGTCCCCATCTCCCCGTGTGGTCGTGTTCGCTCCCTTGTGCTCTCCTTGTGAGGTATGCCATCCAGGATCCTTTGTGGATTCTGGCGCACACCACGCGCTTCACCCAGGCGGAAGCTTCGAACCGCTCCGAGGTGAAACGGAGGGATCATTTTTTTCTCTCTCCTCTGGGCATCACGGGTGTCATCATGTGGCATCCATTCAAGAGGTGAAACACGGATTCGAACACCCATGGAGAGTGGGAGGTCAGGCATCCCTTGTGTGTCCTTTTTGTCATGTTCGGTCGAAGGATCCTCCAGGGTCGTCTAAAACAAGTTGATGACAGGTTTGATATGATTTGTATGCGTATGTATGTTCATTTATATCTTTATATATTTGTATATTATATATCTATCCACCCAACAAATCTGAATATTTACCCAAACAGTTTACTGTTGGGGTTCTATCTTGGAAAAAAAAGAGCTGGTCACACTCATTGGCCGCGCCCTTGAAATCTGTGGCTGGGCTTTGTGGCTGGGCTCTGTGTCCAGGCCTTGTCCTCCTCGTGTCCTCTGTGGCTGGGCTCTGTGTCCAGGCCTTCTCCTCCTCTTGTCCTCTGTGGCTGGGCTCTGTGTCCAGGCCTTGTCCTCCTCTTGTCCTCTGTGGCTGGGCTCTGCGGCTGGGCCTTGTCCTCCTCTTGTCCTTGTCTTGGCCGCGCTCCTGAACTCTGTGGCTGGTCTCTGTGGCCCGGCTTACTGGAGAGGAGTGTGGCCGAACAAACAGCGATGTCAATGCCGACAAAAATTCATTGATGAAGCAGTTTGCTCTTGGGGTGAAGGTAGGGCGTACCAAGAAATCGATTCTTGACTAATATTGGTCTAAACGAATCGTTTTGAAGCTGTTTGGGGTCTATGCTGGTATAATTTTTGGTTCTTACAAAGTCTGGCTATGGAAGTGGGTTTTCTGCAGACCTGACCGACGACCCCGATCACTCAATCGATCCCAGTAGCCGCCCAGGGGTGACATGATCGCATCTTAAGCTCAGGAGTGTGATGTGGATGGTTCCGGTTCGAGGTGGTCCTTTTTGATGAGCACGCCAACGGTTCCCAAGAACAGTTTTGGAATTAGAAGGAGCTTGCTCACCACATGTTGCTGTGGATAACTGGATGCACATTCGTTCTCACTTGGTAGCTCACAAACTAAGGTGGAGGTCTTTCTTTGCCTCTCAAGAGTTGGCTCCAGAGCTCGTCACCCTTCATGTCAGGTTGGCTGGCACGTTCTACCACTGCAGTCGGGCGCCAGTGGGCACTTGAAGAAAGGCGCCCCGGGGCTTGAGCTCCCTGGACTGTCCAACGAATTCCAGAGTGGAACATTTTGCACTACGCCATGCTAAGTTGGTATATACCAGCACCCTCCAACATGTCTCCTCCGGTGGCTTTTGCAGACTTAAAGGTGGCAGGTGGTGACCTAATGGAGGGTGCTGGTGCAAATATATGTATATATATATATATTATATACACAAATTATTTTCCGGGATCCCGGCAGCCACTAGAATTTACCTCTCGAGCTCAAGTCCGTTCAACTTTGCCAAACAGGAAGAATCTCCACGCCGCGAGTCGTTCAATCCTACAGCAGCATACGATCAAAACACGTGTTGGGACACGGTGGTGGGTGTGTGCTCCAATGTCGAATGACGGAGCCAGGAGCCAGTTCTGGCTTTGCAGCAGGGATTGAAGATAGATAGCCGTGCACACAAGGGAGTGCTAGGGCCCTTTTTTCGCGGACCAATTTTATTACTAAAATGGTTTTGCTAAAGAGTGAGGTGGGGCTGGGGTAGGTAGATATATTTTGAGGAAGAAGCGTGAAAACGGGGTTGGCCCCCAAACCAGTGACATGTAATAAAAAAGTGGTCGGCACCCTGATTCTATTTTTAGCAGGCTGGTTTATTATAGAATCAGTCATGTTTTGAGATGTTGTGTATTGTGGCGTGTTTGGGGGTGACACTTCTTGCTGTGTCTCACAATAGACCAGTGGCTGCACCAGGTTGCGAAATTAAAAGCACGGGAAGGATGATTGAGCAGGAGTTTGAATCCTCCAAATCATCTGTAGAAATCAATATGTTGAAATAACATGAACTATGCCAACATTTTGCTTCCTAAAGGGGTTAGTAATGGACGGCTTGAGACCATTATATATATTATTGGGAATTGGTATGCAGTGATTCCACTGGGTGCTTGACAAAGATGTTCTGCAGTTAGACTTACAAAAAGAATCCTGAGGCGGTTCCCACAAGCTTGCCATCAGAATGTTGAGTCAAAGCTGGGAACATGTTGAATTCAGATGCATTCAATGGATTATTGAATCAATTCAAACCCTAACAAATCACCCACACTCATCTTTGCACATCTCAAAAATCATTTTCTAAATCATGACCTTACCTGATTATATTTTCTACGTTGGTTGCCACTGATCTATTTTGAGAGCTTAAATTTTCAAGCTTGGCCCGCTCTGATATTATTTTGACTTCAGCCTTGGCTACTCTGATTCTATTTTATTTTGAGGGGGTCCAACCCCTCCCTGCAACATAGGGGTTGCAACCTGGGCCTCCAGTCCAAATATCGCCTTTTTTCAAACTCGCGGAGGGCATAGCCGCGGCATAGCCATTGCTTTTCTTGGAGTGAGCTATCGGATTGCGGGTCTCTACTGTGAGTTTGTGGGTCGCGGACGGCTTCTCTGCTGTGTTTGACCGATGTGGGTGTCCTTGGGACACGGTGATTTCCGGTTTCAAATTGGTGTTGAGCATGTTGTTTCAAGGGGCTTTGTACGCCTTAGCTCCGCTTATAATAATGTCTTTATATAATTGGAATTATATATATACATTGTAATATTACAGTATGTATTCTATAGTTTCGCATGCATGGGGGGGCGGTTGAACATCGTGGAACTGCTTTTGCCAACGGCAAGAGTTGTTGTCAAAAGCTTCTCTACTTGGGCTCAAATCTGTCATGGTGATAGGCTTACTACTAGCAAACATTGTTACTACTAGTAAGGCACTTGTTACTAGAAGCGAGGCACTCGTTACTATTAGCGTGGCACTTGTTTCTACTAGCTTGGGGCCCGGCCCCATGGGCTTTTTCAGCTTTCTCGTTCGCACCGACGTTTGACCTCGATAGGCGGCACCTTCGTGTGCTATTTGTCGCCGGGTGGGGGGCCCCGAGCGGAACCGCACAGAACTGCTGGGGTGGAGGCCAGAACCGCTGGCATCCCTTGCTTTTGGGGCGGGAGACAGGCATAGAGGAGCAAGATGCAGAATCCGAAACGGATTGATTTCTCAGTTTTCAGCTTTGCTTTAACAGTAGGTTCAGTGGCCACGGCTGTAGTTTTATTGCCCCATAGTCTACCAGTTTACGGATGAATGTGCCGATCCTGATCGATCCTAATAGTAGAACAGGCAACACTCCTTTTACGTGTTATGTGTTTTGTTCTCCCTCTCTCTCTCTCTCTCTCTCGTTTTCAACGCTTGTGAACCACCCATAGACATCTAAAGCCCCATGGATGTTCTAATCTACAGGCCCACCCAGCGGCGCCCTGTGGGCACCGGACAGACCCCGAAGAAAGCGCCTCAGATCGCGGCGCCTTCACGCTCGTGGTGGAGAAGCTGCAGGTGCGGTGAGCACGGGAGATGGACTCCATGGGCCATGCCATCATGTGGGACCCTCCAAACTCACGGGGTAAAAGAAGTGAAGCAATCCCCAAAACACATCCAAACAGCAAGTCCTTCTCAGAAGGTGGCTCCTGAATGGTTGAGGAATTACACATCGATGACTCCACCAAGGAAGATTGCCTGAGTTGTTTTACGCACCATTTTTTAGTGTTTCCGTTTTCGGTGTGAATGATGAAATGATGAATTTCCAATTGGGTGTGAGAAATGGTTTTCGGGGAGGGTCACTGTCCAAACACGTCGCAGGGCACACCAACAAACAGAAAGATTTTGCCCACAGTCCCAGGAGAGTCCATGGGGCATGACTGGGTGTCCACCTGAGGCACCTTGCCAAAGCTGCCCTGGAGCCACCACGGGCGCTGAGGAGGTGGTTTGGGAGCTTAGGTCCCGTAGAGCGGTTCAGAGATTCGCATGGATCTCCGGTTGAGACGCAGAAAGAGTCCATCTTAGCCGGACACCAAGATGTTGCTTTTCTTTGAGGGTCAGGTTCTATGGGTGGCCACTGGGACTGATTCATTTTGTTTTTTGCGAAAGACCACTCATTGTCCACATTGATGGGATAGAGAGACACGGTCCGAAACAGTTGGAAACACATCCGCACACCCATCTTCATTTCAATAGCATGTCGTGACTTTTTCTCTAGGGCAGACGGCATCATTACACTCGAATGCTTACATGTCCAAACAGTTCCCCCCCAAAAAACTATGTATGATATGTATGTATATATCTATATACTTGCAACCTAAAACGGTTGTTGTTTTGTTGTTTGGAGAAACGACAATATATTTTTTGGAAACAACTCGGAAACATGGTCTTTTCGAGAAACGACCGTTTTCTTTTCATAGCGACCGCTTTTTTGCATATCAACAGTATTGCTAGAATGCACACAGTTCCCCCAAAAAACCCATGCAACAACTCATGTATATATATATATTTATATTTATATTTACACAATATGAATCCACACACACATATATATATAGAGATATGCACCGGCTGTCTTTACATATCTCAAAGCTCCCTTAGCTATACGACTAGCATATTCATATAGCCATTGCGCCCTCAGGTCTTCCACCTCGCGGGTGGCTTGGAAAGTAAATGGGTCGACGAAAGCGACTACCCGGAGCCCGGCGCCCTGGAACCCATGTGGGGGTCCACGACGGGGGGGTGGTGAGCCAGTGATGTGGCCGGGGGTGAAATTGTGAAAGGGAGGGGTGTGGGGCACAGGTAACGCATGGCGCACCCGTGCCTGATATGGTGGATTCACTTTATGTATCATTCAACCTCAATGCCTAGCTTGGGATGACTGAGCCTTTGCTTTGAGGCCTTCCGCGCCCCATACACAGCTGGTCCTAGGAGTGGCTACTCCATTTGATGGAAGAAAAGGGGTTCCCCCTGGCAGGATGCCAAGCACAAGTGTTGTTGCTTGGTTGTTGTTCTGGTGCTGGTGTTGGTGGCGGATGGGAACCAAGTACCCACCTTGCTTTTGCATTTTTTGCCTGAAGGAAACATGCAGATCATGGGTCAGGCCTGTTCGCCAAACTCGGCAGTGGACCCCCTTCTTGTTTGCAAACATGCTGGTGGACCAGTTTCCTTTAATATCCTTAATGGCCAGATTGTAAGTTGCAACTACCTTAACCAATCTACTTATCTTACTTCAATCGAAAATAACAAATCCCACCGAAGAAAGAACTTGGCCTTTGCAACCAGACTGTGACTGTGGGACCACTTCTGCTGTGCTGCCGCAGCCATTTTCGCAATTCGACCCTCTGTGTGAGACTGGTCCGACCAACCCTTTCTCTGCACCCAGTGATCAGGCCCGGCGACGGTGTTGGAGCAAACCTAGATGGCTGTCGGCGGCGACGGGGTCAATAGTTAATAGTTATACACTATATCTAGAGGGCAGTTTCTGTTGTTTTGCTCCATGCTTGGACCGTTCCACCATCGTTTGGGGCAACCTGGGCAACTTTGTTTTGGAGCCACACCTGGATCACAAGCCAACGCAGGCTTTTCCTCCAAGTCGGAGAGGCGAACAATTGAATGCTGCACATGGCGTTTTCAAGACGTTGCTTGTTTCCGCACCTGGACCTGGGTTCCCTCAGGACCTGGCTGGACAAATGGCCTTCTGCCCAGCAGTGCGGGACCAGCTCTCCAGACCTTTGTTCCCACCCTGCAGCCCGACTTGGTTCGGACGCCGAGCGAGCAGGCGACATGATCCGCTCCGAGTCGGCCAGCACCTCCGCGAGCACCGGCTCCAGCGAGTTTCAAGGCTTCAAGGTGAGCTCCGGTCGTTTGAAGAATCTGTAAAGTCGGATGGGATGATTGATTCATTGATTTGATTATTGGATTGGGTTGGGTTGGATTGGATTGGGTTGGGTTGGGTTGGGTTGATTGAATGAATGAACGAACAAACGAACGAGTGAATGAAATGAATTAATAACGACGAATGGTGATGATGATGATGAGGAGGAGGATGAGGATGAGGGCAATTTTTTGGGGGGTTTGGGAAGGGCTCATAATGGAAGGGCCTAGAGAAGTGGAGGTGTCATGATGTGGTAGATGAAATGAGGCTCGATGATGCAACTAGACAAGATGCCAATCCCCTTCTGTTGTGAAGCACCAAGCTCCCTGCCAGCAGCTGGGGGTGTTTCAAAGCAGCTCCAACACACACACACACACACCAGAACAAAAAACAAGATTGAACCAACACACCAAAACATGCACCCACACAGTGCCACACACACCCCAAAATAGAAAGACAAGCACGACGTCGATCGATTTCCTTCCCCGTCAGGTGGACAAGGCCGGCCCCATGAGGCGCATAGATCCCAGGCGAGGTCCGCGTGGTGATCAGTGGAGAAGGGCTGGGCTCGTTCGTGATGTTCGTGGACGAGGAGGGGCGAAGAGGGGCGTTTTTTGGGGGGTGGGGTTGTGGTCCGACGAGCAGGGTGTTGCTGTGATTGGGTTCCGACGCGGTGGTTTCCGGTGGTCGCCGTTTTGAGTTCGAGGGGCCCAGAGATCTAAAGGGGAAGTTTTCGAAGTTTCTATTGCAGGTCTTGGGAGGGTCCCACACGCCCACGCCCAGGAGCGACCAGGTCACTCCGCTGCCGCAGAAGGCCATGGGTTGCCGGGGGCATGGGCCGATGGAATGCTGGACCTTCGGCAGCGAAAGAGATGGACAGATCATCCACCAGCAGTCACAAAGGGGTGGTGTTTAGTCCCTAAGTGAGTGGAGAATGAGCACCCCTAACCTCCATTATTCACCCCTTTGATCCCCTTTGTGGTTCCTGGCACTTAGATTTGTTGGTGTCAAGCTGAGCCCAGCTTTCAGAAAAAGACATATTGTTTTTCGTGAAGTGATAAGTGCCAAAGGGCTACAGGGTCATGAGGTGAGTTTTGGATGCAGGGGTTTGGGTGCATTGTTTTCCTACCCTTTGCACCAGTGACAGTGATTTTCCTCATGACCTGAGCATCTTCCTGGTTCAGTGGGGCATCTTGCCCTGATTCTCCACATGAAAGAGTCTATAAGCGAGTCCAAGACAACGGCTGTGGATCTAAACCTCAGGCCCAAACCCGGAACCCTGGTAATTAGTTTGACCTCCCTGCCTGGTAGTCTCTTCTATCATGTTCTATCTCTCATTTTTCGATCAACCAGGGTCCCGGAGTTTTGGGCCAAGGGCAATAGCTTTTCTTGCTTCTTGTGGTGCGACCGTCAATCCTTTGGGGCGACCGTCGATCCGGCTGCACCACTCTCTTAGAATTGTTCAAGGCTGCCACAAGTTGAAAGGTTTCTCCGGCACACAGATGCCCAAAACTTCTGCCAGGGATAGAATCCTACGCCTCCTCCAGCATCCGCAGTGCCATGAGAAAAACAATCCAAAAACCACACTTTGCAAAACACTGTTTGAGATGCATCCCATTTGCAGATGCTCACAGCAGTCTCTTCACTGTGGATCCCATGTGCAGCCGTGAGTCATGGCCACTTCGTCCAGCCAGGACGTCAAGGTCTTGAACATGCGCGGGGCAAAGGACCTGCCGTGCAGGGGCTAACAGGGCCGAACAGGGGAGGGGGCGCAAAGGGACCAGCATCACCGGCATTGGTCTCCATCGGATGGAAATCCCACCAGTGGAACAGAATGGTTATATAACAGGGATGCCTCCGGCCGGAAGAGAACATCAAGAACCCACTTGCTTGCGTGAGACTGGAGACCTGCGAGTGGAATGCCTTCCCCTGTTCTACATGGCTCTTTTGGTACAAGTCCTAGACTCCTAGACCGCAGTTTGGGCCAGCCTTCACGTTGTGCCCGTGCCCATGTTAACCCTGTGGGGTCCGTGGGGTCACCAGAAGCAGCAGAAGGCGAGAACACCCTGGATCACTGTCAGATCGATGTTCTCCGTCTTAGGCTTCAACGGAGTGGTGTTCTGTACCAACACGTCCTGATCCTGTACCAACCGATTCGATCACAGAGGAAGCAGATCCAGAGAGAGCATTGCCTTACCAGAGCTGGAGACCAAAGAGTTGGATGCACCATAGTGCTGCGGAATGGGAGCACGTCCGGTTCCACATCAGTTTCTCCACACCCACCCCATGTTTTCAGACTGGCCGCTGCTCTTGAAAACACAGCGCCGAGCGTGAGCGCCTCTAATACCACCATGCTTGGAACACAGCCTCCGTGCGCTCGCCAGTCCGGTGTCGATCGCCTCCGCCAGGACCATGAGCCAGCGAGTACCGCCTCGAACGCCCGGAACGCGCGCCGCGCGCGCCGCCGCGCCGAGAAGCGTGCACAGGAGAGGGATGGGAGGGAGTATGAGAGTGAGGTGAAGGGAAGTGACAGCAACAGAAGGTAGTTGCAAGTGGGAAGCGGGATGAGCGCTTTTCTGTTACTGTACTTGGTTCTTGAAAGTGACTTTTTTGATCCCCTGGTTTGTGTCAAGTTCTCTTTCAGCATGTTATCACGTGAGTTCTTTTCACCCTATAGGTGTCCTCACTTGATCGGTTTGTTGACGACTCAGTCTCGGTCGACCATGTTTTATCAGCGATGCACAAGGAAAGTTTCAACAAACTCATTCAACCCACATATTTTCCAAGTACAGTAAGGACATTTGGCCAAAACCACCGACGTTTGGCTTCTGCCCGACGTTTGGCTCATCATGCACGCCTCCACCCAGCGGCGAGGACCACCCTGACGAGCCGATCTTTATTGAGGCCCTCGGAACGACGATAGACGGGGCTTCAAGGTTGTCAAGCGGTGGCTGTGGGGTGGTCGGCTCATGGCCCCATGAGGGCTCCATGGACTCTCAAAAGAAGCAGCGCCATGCCTCACTAATGTAGACTGATTATTAATAAACTATCCCATTTGGGTTAAACGTCCTCTTCATGTGGGGATAATAACTAATCAAGAGTCTACATTGACTATACGATCGCCTCCCCAAACTCATATGGACTGCAAGCATGATAGAGTTGAAACTCTGATCGACTTCGCTGACAATCTGACTATAGCGCACACACAGTCGCACACACTTAGACAGAGCGACTCTCAATCTGGCTCCTAGACGGTTGCTGTGCAAATTAACCATACAAACCAGGGATTTAAGACAAGAGTTTGCGGGTACATTCTGTTGATCAATCCTTCCAAGGAAACTGAGCCGGCGGCTTCCGCCCATAGCAGAAGGAATCCAGGCATCACCGAGCATAGTTGTCATACCTTTTGCGCCCGTATACCACGATTACGCTGTCGCCATCCTCATCCGAAAGAGCCCGCCCATCCAGGACCATCCGAAAGAGACTGTATTAGAGGCGTCTTTCACGAAAGGGTAGTGCACGGAAAGGGTTTTGCCAAGACCTATCACTAGCTTTTGGAAGGCCCGGATCATTGGTGGAACCCGGGGGCTATTCGTGGACCATTCGGGGAATGGTGGGCCAGCAGGAAAAACTAACCGTAACGAACACCCGGAAACCTTCGCAGAACTTTGTGGAAGATATTGTTGCTGCACTAACTTCGTATAACCAATGTTTGTAGTCATGAAGTACAGGAAGTTCCCTTAAATAACGTCCTAAAAGACTTCTATGCATCTGGAATCTTCAAGGCAAGCTCCTTTCTTTCTTTTCCTTTGACCCTCAGGGACCCTGTGGATGTCGTCCTCGCGGAGAGCTGAACCGTTCGATTGCAAGGCCGTGCTTCCAGACGAAGTCCATGAAGTGACCTGCATCCGTGCCGAGCTTGGTGGGGCCCGAGCTGGGGCGGTCTGCTAGTCAAGGACCTTCAAGGACGACGCTATGTTCGTAGCTATAGATGCTATAGTTGATAAACGCAACTAATGCCAGGAGCTACGTTCGTAGCTTCTTGAGACTAGCAAAAAAGGCACCTTGCTGCGTTCGTAGCGATTGGACCTCCAGGGAGGAGTGGCAAAAAAGAGTGCCATTTTCCGGTGCGGTTGGAATTCGAACTCGTTCGGGCACTGACGTTGGTTCGAGAGTGGGGTTACTTCGCAGAAACATGGTCCATTTACGTCCATATGCAATATAATACAATAGTGTTGCTTTTTGGAAGTTTCATCATTTTGTCGCTTCTGCATGAGGTGGGGGGCCAATCAAGCTTGGGTTGCCTAATGAAGCGCCCATCATTGAAATCAAAGAATTCACGAAAGCTAGCGAAGCTAGCTGGAGTTACTCTTGCGATAGCAAGGTTTCTTTCGATCGGGTGCAAATCCTAACCCCTGATTTTTCAGGTCGAAGCCCCCCCCCCTCCCCACCTCCCCACCTCCCCTCTCCTCCTCCTTGTCTTCCTCCATCTTCCCTCCCTCCCTCCCTCCCTCCCTCCCTCCCTCCCTCCCTCCTCCCTCTTCGCAAGTTCGACTCCGTTCGACTCCGTCCTGTCGTCGCTCTTTGGCATGCGGTTAGCGTTGCGTATCTTGCGGCCGCACTCTCTCACTCTCACTCTCACTCTCACTCTCACTCTCACTGTCTCTCTCTCTCTCTCCTCTCTCTCTCTCTCTCTCTTCTCTGTCTCTCGTCTTTCCGCCTCTCTTCTCTCTTCTCTCTCTTCTCTCGCAGGAGGATCCGGGCAAAGAGCCACATATAAAGCACTCTTCACCTGGAATCGTTTGCCCCGCCCAACTTGTGCAAGGCGTCCTGCCTTCTGCTACTCCGTGCAGACCCGCTGCTACCAAAGCCTATTTGGCTTCGAGATGTATTTGTAAATCGTTCACCTGGTATCTAAAGCCACATTACACGGGAACAGGGAAATGGTGCTGCTCCTCGCTGCCCTCCACTTTCCCATTCTGGAGCGCTAGCTTTTGCCCCCCCCCTTGACCTCAAGTAATTCCCAACAGTTGACTTATTAAATGATTTGACCGCAACTAATAACTAAGCAAAGCCGCAACGCTTGATGGATCCTGAAGCACATTCACATCGCAAGCAACTTCAGATCCTTGCTGGAGATGAAGAGGGGCCCCTTCTGAAGCAACTGGCTCTTTTAAAGACATGCGCGCTCCTCGTTTGCTCGCCACTGAGGAGAGGAATATTATCCAGTGATGGGTGAGGACCGGGTGTCACGTTTGCCCATGTGGGGAAGGAGGTGGTTCGTGCAAAAGGGCAGACTAAAAGCATCCAAGACCGATGTTCCCGTGACTCTTCACGGGTTCACCACTGGCAAATTATAAGGCTCGCCTGGCTTGCCCTAACTGCTTTAACTGCTGCGCTGTTAGCTCATTTGTGAGACCCAAGCATTGAAATGTGTTTCTTACTTGCACCATCGGTGTGGGCGCTCAGGGATTCTTCAGCCAAGTGAGGTGGATTAGAGGGCACCAACTCTCCATCAAGCACTCCTGGTAGGAACTCGCTTCTCGCCCCTAGGAGCTCGGGGAGCTTCAGCCTCAGGCGCTGGCCGACTGGGACGGACGCCGCTCGCGGACCGGACCGGTGACGTGACGGGGTGAAAGTGGACGGTGAAGAAGAGAACTGCCAGAATGGTTTTCCATACCCATATGTACATGGGAATCGGGCTTGCTATTCAATTCTTTCCGTTCAATGCCGTCACCGGAGGTGACCAAATCCGTTGGTTTCACGCTTTGGCTTTTTGGGACCACCGACCACGTGGTGTGCTCAAGTGGTTGCTCGACTTGCTTTTGCGGATCGAGTGTTTCTTCTTATGGGTAAACCTCCCTTCTTTGGGAATTCGTTGGGAATATTGCTTTCCGGATGTTTTGAACAAACCAAGGCGAAGTGTGCCGATTTGTTTTTTCCTCCTCCGTGTTTGCAATGGGAGGAATGCCGGCAGGCCAGTGGATGTTTTTCAGGGGATTGCAATGTTTATGTGAGACAATTACGTTACATGTGGCAGATTGGAGTTGAACCCTTGGGCGGCATGGTGAGGTGCGGTGCACCCCGATGGATTGGGCGTGGTTCCAGTTGGGTAACCCCACAAACAGCAGCAGGGACATGGTATTACGCAGAAAACTGGAATGAAGTGGCTCTACCTTGCAATGGCCCATACATACATAGTGGTCCCCAAATAGATAGACTCGGTTCCCATACATGTTTAGTGGGGATCTATTTTTATACTTAATTTGGGGTCTATATACTGTAATGTTATATATATATTATATATACACGCTGATAGACATATGAACCAACCATGTTTGAACCTGACCCGTAGCTCTTTCGGGTCAAATATGCTGCTTGGTAGTCACTAACGCCTCCGCTCTCAGCAGCGGCTTGAGCCGAAGGAGCGACGCTCCGAGGTCGTCCTCGATTGAGACTGGAAGAAATTTCTGAGCACTGCATCATAAAGAGCAGCGTGCAAGTCTTTTGGGAGGTGCCAGGCCGTAGTGGAACGAGTGGGTGCTTCTGAGCCCGTTGGAACTGCCTCCTTTGTTTTAACCTTCACTCATGACCTTGAAACCAGGCACTAAGGGAGTTCTGCACCTGTGTGCAGACTGTGAGGAGCCCCGATGGAGAGAAGCTCTCGTCATAGGTGTGCAGCATCCGTGGTTGCAGGCTTTGGTCAGAAGCAGCAAAGAGGAGGTAGCCAAGACTGGTCTTTCATGCATAGAACTGAACGACACAACGTTTTGCATGGTGGAAGCCGAATTCCATCACCTTCTGTCTGCAGTGGCCAGCGATGTCATGAGTCTTGGGACCAACCCCAAGGAGTCCAAGGAGATTTTGAAGTTGGGCCAGGAGGCCGTTGCAGGGTCAGACGAAGATCTGCACTATGCAACTGCATCCGAGCCAAAGCCAGCTTCGACGGCCTTTCAGAAGCCAAAGAAAGCTGCACAGGCGTCCTCATCCTCAGAGGACAGTTCAGAACTGGGTGTGGGGGCGCTCGCGCAGCTGAAAAAGAGTTGGCTCGGCAATGGCACAAACGACGAAAAGAGAGTCAGCTCCAAAGACCAAAAGCCGTCAAGCAAACGACATTCGAAGAGGTTTGCCATGATAGAGAAGAGCCGAGACAGTCAGATCCACTTCGATAACCCTTGCTTAAGTAAAACCCAGATAAGCTTGGATTAAATAAACCCAGGTCAGGTTTCAGAAAACTGGCATTGCGATCAGGTTTCAGAGAACTGGCATTGCTCCGAGCGTATCACCCTTGGCCATTGAGGCCAACAACACTTTCAGGTGCGCCCCACAAGAAAAGAAGGCAGCTGCGGGCAGTGCCAACACATATATATTTATATGTTAATGTTAACATTTAAATTATCGAATGTAAATGATATAACTTATGAATATGTTCTTCCTGAAACCACCATCCATCAGCAATCCACCTGCGAGGCATTGCTATCAGAGGCCCCTCACCAAGCTATTGCACTTGCATCCTACGATCAGGGAGGTCCTAACATCCAACATCCGTTGCAGTTACAGATGAAACAAAGTGAAAAGGAAAGGGCTTTGTTCTTTTGTCTCCTAACCATACAAGCATCTATACTATAGAATCTATAGAACCACATAAATCCGAAAAACATATACATATATATATATATATTAATATATATTTAATCATATTTAATCAGGTGGCCAAAGTAATAACATCGAGGCGGTCTACTCACAATTCACGGAGCTTAAACAAGCTGCTTCCCGCCTCGTCGGACGCAGTCTCTAGCTCGACAGGAAAACATGGGTCAACCCCCGCAGGTGCTGCGACCAGATGTGGTGCTGGACAACCCCTTCGCCGTCCCTGCGACTTGGACGCAGAACATGTCTATGAACATGTCGACGCAGATGGCTACAGTGGTGTTTCTCCGGATCAGAAAGACCCGGAGATTGGTTCATGGATGGTCCAAACTGGCGTCTATATTTTCTGTGGTTTGATCGTTTTTGACCAAGTAGATTGTTTTAGAATTGTGTTATGACGTGTTCTTCGACTTCGCATTATCGTTTTGCTGAGGAAAGCTGGGAAGACTCCATAGATGTGGAGCCCACAGTGACCGCCACCATGGCGATGTGCATTGAGTGCTGCGACCACTTCGATGTCGCTTTGGGCGCCTTTGTGATTTTGTGCGGGCCCAAGGATGAATCGAGTGCAGTAGATTGACCAAGGCCTGGTCGTGGCCCCCAGTTCAATAGACGAAGAAGTCTTCTTAGGTGACTCACTTATGTTTCTTTGTTAACAGGGGGAAATACCCCGCGCACTTGTGCGCATTTCTCAGTGACTTGCTTCATTTAGTTGTCCCAGATCGCTCACATCTACCAGCACCTTACACCCTATCAGGTCCTAGCACCTTTTTTGCATACGAGATAGATGCAAAATGATCAACGAACGGTTTTTATCTCAAGGGTTTTATCCGTCATCCTTCTTTTTCTCAGGGGGATGTGACTTCGAAAACGACACGGGACAGCCAAAAACGATAGGGCCGAAGCAACATACTTTACTTCGAGTGATCCCCACCATGACATGTCGATCAGTTGTTTTCATGCCATGGTGGTGGGTTTTGTGGTTCTCGATTTTAGGGTTGTATTGTGGGTGTGTATTTTGCGTTGTGTGTTTGAGGCTGTGATTGTGGTTGTGTGTAGTTGGTTATGTATTGTGTGTTGTGTGTTTGTGGTTGTGTAATGTGTGTTGTAAACTGTGTTGTGTTTATGGTTGTGATTGGTAGTGTATTGTGTCTTTGTTTGTGGTTGTGTTTGTTTATGGTTGCGTGTTTGTGGTTGTTTGTTGTTGGTTGTGTCTTGTGTGTGTTTGTGGTTGTGTTTTTGTGATTGTGTTTGTGGTTGTGTGTTTTGTTAGTTGTGTGTTTGTGATTGGGTTTGTGGTTGTGTTTGTGGCTGTGTGTTTGTGATTGGTAGTGTATTGTGTCTTTGTGTTTGTGTGTTGTTGAGGTCCGGGTCTGCCCACTGCAATTTGGCGCTTGCTGTTGATGTCCGGTAGTGCCCACTGCGATTTGGCGCTTGTTGTTGATGCCCAAAGGAGAAGACCATCACTATCTTTAAAAACCTAACAATCCTCACGAGACAGGTGGGGAATCACATATTAATAGTACTGCAGAACATGTTGCTGGCTAAGTTATTTGGAACGGATTTGCTTCAAGGTGAAACCATTTGGCTTCAAAGCAAGCTATGCCCCAAAAATATTGCAAGTCAAGCTTTTGGAAACCTACCTCAGACGATAGGATTTCGATAGGGGAAACCAAACCCCACCAGTTGCGCATGTGGTTTTTCGAGATTGTGGGCGACATAGCAATTGTGAAAAAACATCCGTCACAGCATTAATGCACAGGAACGGCACGACGCTCATGGAATTTTGCAGATGAGTGCCGCACCGTTGGAGACAATAACGGTGTAACATTGACAACGAATGTAGCCCACATCAGGAATCAGCTCATCATATAGTACGGAAACTGTTTGTTCAACAAACCCATCGACTGAGGACCGGGCGCCAAGAGAATGGTTGGCTTGAGGTGAAAAGACGCGAAGACGGAGAAGATGGCTGGCTCCCCGCCACTGCGCCGCACTTGGTGGTTGGTGCAGCCCACTTTCCACGGAGGAGGGTTGCGTGGGACCCTACTGCAGGGAACCCTTGTGGACGGAGGCCAGGTCAAGACTTGCAAACTAAGTCTACACGTTTGGCGCGGTTATGATCGGTTTTGTGCGGGAAGCTGAACCCCACATGTTTTACCCGAACACCTGTTTTGCAACACATACACGCTTTTGCTCATCATGTCCTTAGAGGGTCCTGGCCAACCGGAAGGGAATGAAGACAGAAGAGCGCTTGCATGGGTGGCCTCCTGCCATGGTCAGATTGGCCGAAACCAAGGGGTATTAGCAATAGTTCCATGAGGAATTGACAAGCACAATCAGAGCTGGGTGCTGTCATATAGGTTACGTGCAGAGAAAACATGAAACATGTGAAACAACTACTTTAACAAACATCAAAATTATTGGTTTGGTGGTTGGTATGCTGTTGTAGGGTTTTTTGATTGATTTGGGCAGAATGTTGATTCATAGGCCGGGTTCCAAATTGTTGTGTGTAGTTCCTTGTGTTCCTTGCCTTCTCCGATTGTGTTTTCTGACGCAATTTCACCTTCCTATTATCTCCTTGTCAGCTCCCTTTGGTCTTGCAGAGGACGTCGGAAGAAACACATGGTCATTCACGGGGCATTGGCAAAGGATATAGAACAACATCAAAACATGCCAAGAGACCCGGCAGGTGAAGCAAACGTTTCTACTCGGCAAGTTGGTCAAAGAGCATTGGTACGAATATAGTCTAATTAATACAAATTCACTGTAATGTAGACTGCTAATAAGTACACCCCCGGAAACCGCATGGTTCTACACCCTCACATCTCCACATTATGGGGGTTATATTGATCAACAGTCTTCGTGCATTCCCCAATGGACCTTCGTTGGGACTTGTACCGAAACTGCACCAACTCGGACGATGATTCACTGTTAATAGCGTTAATCGTTATTTCATTGTTGCACGGGACCCATGCATAACCAGTTCCGGCGGATTGCGGGTCGCGCCCAGGTGGAGTGCGTCGAGTGCCCGCAGCCGGGACAGGTGTGGGCACAGGCAAGGCTTCGATGTTCCGGGCGCAATTGAGCCAAGTGCAACTGGCCCAATGGATCCATGTGGATCCAATGGCCTTGGATCATTGTACGAAGGAAATACGTAGAACAGTCTGTGGCTCCACAGTCCAAGAACCATCGACATCCACAGAGTCGAGAACTTGGGCCGGTCTCGCTGCCTGGAATCCACGACTGTGGGCGGAGTTGGGTGGTGTTTTCAAGGGCTGGTCATATTCAAACAACTAGCACTATAGCACTTAGAGTTGCGCGTCACCTTAGCAGATGAGACAGAGATATTTGGACCATGTCAAGATCCTGGATGTGGAATAAACATGAATATCTCTGACGTTCGGTCGCTCGGGCGCGGCGTGAGCGGCGCCGCGAGCTGCGTGTCCGGCCGCGAGGCGGCTCAAGTCTCTGAAAAGGGGCGAGCAAGGTCAGCCGCCCTCCTAATGGGTCGAGATGATGTCCATCTCCGCAAAAGCCGACGACCAAGGTCGAGATGAGAAGGGTTCAAATCGATAGGAATACCAAACATAGGGGTATGGATACCAAGACCAAGCAAAACACCCGAGGGAACCCGAACAAAATCGACGTCCAACTGACGACAGAGATCGGTAAGAGCAACCCTAACCATATCGACCATGGTGGTGACCGTCGGTCGAACAAAAAGGTCCTGTACCTGCCTCATGACTCTGCGGCCTCCAACTTCTTCAAAGGGAAACAAGCCGGAGTCAACGAAAGCGTAAAGAAAAACGAATTCGAGAAAGCTACAAACGGTTCTACGGCTCTCAGGACCTCCGCAGCGGCGTAGCCAGCCGACCAGCTCCTTGTAGAAAGCGGGCGGCAAACGGCCTGGCTCCACCTGAAGGTCTCCTGTCGTCACCAGTGCAGTCGTCAGGGTAGGTGGAAGTCCTGAGTCGGTGTCACTGGAAATGACAGTCTCAATGTGCTCTTCTTCGGTAGTTCGCAAATCTCCTGCAGAAACAATGAACTGCAACAAATGTTCTTGGCGGTGTCGCCAGCAAATATCGTAAGCGGCGACCCGTTCAAACAATGCCAACACTTGTGAAGGACGGTTGGAGTTCATGTATCCAGCAATTCGATCTGCAACATCGTTCCACTTACGAAGCCAGTCTTCAAATGGCGATTCGCAGTGCCTCTCATCAAGGTGACTGGGCACCCAATGGAAATAAAACTGTCCGACTTCTGAGGCATCCAGGGCTGCGCTGAGCCCCAGCCAAAGGTCCTGGTGCTCCCATGTGTGTGGTATGACCCCCGTGTTCTGCACAAAGGCGGCCCCAAGTGCAATATGCTGGGAATCCGACCACACATGAACTTCAGCTTGTGTCTCAAGCAGTCCCCATCTGACCGTGCTCACAAGGGCGGTGAGCTCCGCCCTACCTATTGACTGGCATGGACCATGAAGAGGGGCTCCACAAATGACTTGACCCGTAGTAGCACTCACCGAGGCCCATGCAGAGTGAGCAACCCGGGATTGTCTATGTTGAAAATGAGCTCCATCCGTAAAAACATGGTTCTGGCCAAAACATGGTCTGGACAAAAACTCAGTCGTACAATCTGGCAGTGCGTCAAAGTAAGCAGCGAGTTCGGTCACCAGCGCAGCTTGTGGCAGCAAAACATGGTTTTTAAAACAACGGGGCCAAGAGTCAAAATCAGGGAAAGTGGCTCTAAAGGGTCCATTGAGGGAAACCAAAAGGGGGCATGAAAACCAATGTTCAAGTGTGTCAGGGCACTGACAGTGATGACACAACCGATCAATGGCAACATCATACCTGCCGAACTTCGCATTGTCAATGTAGCACCCGCTCGAGATGGCTGACAGCTGTGCTTTCTCCAAAGAAGAAAGTGAGCGTGTGAAGCTCCGATGTGCCCAAAGGTCGATACCATGTAGATCTTCGGCAGTTTTGCGGCTACGAAAGCCTTGTGCAACACGCCAAGCCCATGCATCCAGCAAACGATGTTCACACCAGTGCCAAGGAACCTTGAGCAGAGACCATTCAACCTGCCAGTGGTCCAGGATCCTGTCTGCGCTGAGAAAACTCCAACCAAGATGCGATGTCATTTCAAGCATCTTAGAGAAAGGGCCCGCTAGCAGATCTCCATTGTAGGCAGCTAAAAACGTAGCCCAATGCATGAAAAAGTCAGAGGACTTCCTGCAAAGCCTCCGGAAATCCATGAGGACAGTCTTGTGGTGCCATAGCAGAGGATCCGAAAACGGCATATCAGAGAGCAGGAATCTCATGGCAGGGGATGATCCCGCCTTCCTCCAGCCCAAAGCCAAAGCGGCTTTGCGACGCAAGACATCCAGGTGTGAGTAAGCGAACCTGCAGGAAAGAATGCCATGTAACCCCTCCGGCCAAAACACAGTAGAAAGCGCAAGCAAGTTCTGTGTCAAAGAGGCAGCAGATCTCTTCAATACTGGCCAACGATCATCTATAGGCGCGACATCCTGTCTTTGATGTCGCAAACCCTTGGTCGCGCGCCAAAGGTGAGTGATCCACCAAGTTCTTTGGCATGTTCAAGTCGTTGAAGTGGGAACTGTGCAAGAGCCTTGCGATTGTCGCCATCAACAGCCCAGCAGTAAGATTTGTCAAGGTCAATTTCCAATCTCCAAAGTTTGAAGAAGGAGGTCATGGTGGAGAACCCAATTGCAAGGGAGCCCGCATCCAAACTCAAAAGGCCCAGATTGTCGACATAACTGTAGGCATTGACCGAAGGGCAGAACTGTTGAGCATAAATGTGCCAGGTCCAGTCCAAGATACACATCGCAAACACTGAAAGAGCATCTCCTTCAGGGAAGCCAACGGTGCTGAGCGAGCACTGACTGAGCTCCCCCTGCACCACAAAGGTCCGCGACATGGTCGACAGAAAGGTGGCCCATGGCCCCGTCACGGAGCCAGGCGTACCAATATAGTCGATCATCCAGAACAAAGGAGCCCTGGGCAGACAATTGAAAGCCCGTACTATGTCAGAGCTCAATCCACATAGAGCGGAACCACCTCTGCAACTGAGTTCGATCAGTGCTTGCCAGTATGCCCAAATGCCAGCTGCTTCCTGTCCAGGGATAAAGCCGACTTGTTCAGCAGGGAGGTACTGCGACAACTGCGCCAGGAGCTGTCGGCTGCGAATGCTGCCCCACGTTCTATAAAGCAAGCTGAGGACAACAATAGGCCTGAAAGAGGCAACCTCATGTGCATCTGGAGTTTTGGCAAGTGCCTGAATGAGGCCAGTATGAGTTTGAGATGGCCAAGGGGCCCCAGCCTCAATGGAGGAGAGCATGGTGAGCAATGATGCAGTAAGCGCGGAGGGCATATGGAGAAAGTCACGATGGTCCAGTCCATCAACCCCTCTGGCCGCGGTGGGCTTGTACCGTCTCAGTGCTTTTTGCCAATGTGAAGGCTGGATGGCCGGAAGATCAAAGCTGATAGGCCGCATGTGCGCCTTGGCGAAATTGACGATGCGTAGCCAATCTTCTTCAGGGATATCACTGTAAGCATTCCAGCGAGGACGCCAGAAATCAACAAAGGCTTGGTGGACCTCCGTCAAGTCGGAAAGGACCTGATGCTGGTGAAGTTCATCGCCTGGAATCAGCTGAGTAGGCAAGGAAGAGACCTGACAAAGATCATCTTCGGACTCCATGACTGTTGTTCGCACCCCATTGATGGTCCATGTGGACTGTCCATGGAGGTCGAGTGGTCGGTCCAAGTGAAGGGACCCAGTGGAGGGCTCAAAGTCCAGGATGGTGTAGTAGTGGTCGTGCCACAAAAGATCAGGTTTGGCTTTGGGTTGCCTACGGAGTTCACCATAGAGGCCTGCCATGGATGCATCGTGCTTGGCCTTCAGAACTCGGCAGCGTTGTCTAATATGCCAAGATTCAAGTCGGTCAAAACGGTCCCGAAAGGTAGCATAGATACGGTCAATGCCTTCACACGAGGGGATGGCAATAGGAAGAACAGGAGGATCATGAGGAGTCCCGTCTTCATAGCCAATGTTCCAGAAGGTGCGGAAGCCCTTGTCGAATCCTCTGGCTCGGAGAATGGAACTCCAATGCTCGCAACGAGCTACCTGTGCGGAGGTATAGTCGTTGTTAGCATGGATGGCATGTCGTAGAGATTGAATGCGACGAAGTTGCTTGAACCAATCTCGGACAGCCAGTGTAGTATGGTCAGCCCTAAGTTGGACTTCCCCCTGCCGGCTAGGTCGGGAAAAGTGCACCTGAGTGTCAGTGAGATCAGGACTGGTTCGCTGTGCCCGTCCGCGTTGATGAGGAAGGAGATTGCCCCCAGGTTGTCCTCGTACGCGGCCTTGCAAACAGGACTCCAGCTGTTGACCAATGTGGCGATAGGTGCAAGTAGTGGATCCAGTGGTATCAATGCCAACGGTCGTCTGGTCAAGGCCATCACATTGCACCTGGTCCCAAGGTATACGTGCAGGTAGAGGCCAGTGAAAGACTTGTCGCACCTTCACATCACAGGAAAAGTCAACCGCAACGGTGGCATGTTCAATGAAGATGTCCAGGACTTCAATGTGGCAGCAAAGAGCTTGCGCTTCAGGGCTCAGCCAAATGAAGTCTCTCTCAGTGGCCCCTTTGCAAGTAGGCTTGACCAAATGTCCCCAGTGGAAGGAGGCGAAGCGCTGAGCCGAAATCCATCCAAATTGACGCCAAATTTCAAAGGAGTCAAGTTCATCTTCAGAAAAGTTGAAGTCACCGCAAATGGTGCGGATGCCAAATCCACCGATGACAAAGTGGCTTGTGACAGTGGAAAGCAGGTTCTCTGGTGAGCTGCTTGGCCTTCGGCCATGTAGGGCCTCGGCAGTACCCATAGGCGTTGATCACCTGTAGCTTTGTGTTTCCAAGCAGGTGAGCAGAAGCAACGATTCTGCCGGACTCTTGTTCAGAGCATTGCCATGGCATGGAAAGCTTTTGACAGGGTACGTCAGAGGTGGTGAGAACACCAGCCCAGGTGCCTGCCGAGCTGG